ATAAATAAAATTAAAATAAAAAAGAATATGCATAATACCTACCTTGAGGAATAGAAACATAGGGACGGAATATGCCCAGGGAACTACCTGGCTTATAGTAGACACTCAATAAACAGTCGACAGTCTTGCCACCACGGTCTAGAAATGCCGTGATTCCTCTGGGGACCTGCAACAACGGTCCTCCTCTGAGCAGCAGCAATGGCTTGCCAAGGTGCATTTAGACCAACAGAAGGGAAAGAATTTCAGAGTGGGAAAGGATCTACAACCTAGTGACTCAAAATTTCATTTTCAAGGCGACAAAGCAGGAGTCCAGCAACAGCTACTGATAATAGTAAGATTAGAAACCTGGAGACTATGGATTTTGTTTAAACGGATTTTACCCTTGATTGGGTTTAGGGAACAAAATAAATGTTCTGAATATTAAAAGGGGCTCTTGAGAGTGGTTGCCAAAAAGGATGTTTATTGTTTTTATACTTTGTATGTAAGGTAGTAAAACCTGTTTTCACCATTTTCCATTATGTTAATCAAATGATTTCAAGGTAAAAATATACTATTTCAAGAGGCAGAATCTTAAATTCAATAAACATGGTGTGAGCCCTGGTCCTGCCACTAAATAAGCCCAAGCTAGTTATCCACTTTCTCTGAAATCTGTTTCTTTATCTATGAAATAAAAATTATACCAACTTTGTCATAGGGAATAGAAATAATATATGTAATGCACTTAGCACAGTGCCCAGAACACAGTAAGTTTTCAATACTATTATTTTTTAAAGATTTTATTTATTTATGTTTAGAGAGAGGGGAAGGAAGGGAGAAAGAGAAACATCAATGTGTGCTCGCCTCTCGCACGCCCCCTACTGGGGGGACATGGCCTGCAACCCAGGCGTGTGCCCTACACTGGGAATCAAACCAGCGACCCTTTGATTCACGGGCAGGCACTCAATCCACTGAGCCACGCCAGCCAAGGCTCAATACTATTATTATTAGCTAACATTTTATGAGTTCTGGCTAAGTTTCTAAGGGCTTAACCTGACCTATCTCATTTAATCTTTTCAACAACCCTCTGAGCCAGGTACTGTTAATGATCCTTGTTCTTCCAGAATGTTAAACAGCTGGTTAAGTGGTAGAGCTGGAGTTCACACTCCAGTAGTCTGACACCAGTCTGTGGTTCTAACCCTGGACTACCCTGCCTCTATTTCAAATGTTTTTAACCTTGATGAGCGAATTTAATGTATTAGACTTTTGTGCTCAGAAATGAAGAAATAGAGCACATTTGGAGTGCTCATTTATGCAAGGACTATGCTAGACTATTTCAAGAACAGTTTACTCATTTCAGTTACTGTTTAGCCACTGTCTTTATTACCTCTGAGAATTCATAAAGTTTTCTAGAACTCTACGGATCTGTTTTGTATTATTTGTAGTGTATTCACGCAGCTCTTATTTTGCAGGGTTACTTATTGCTGTTCTTCAAAGGTAGATTATCACGTTGTTTACAGAAGAAATGAGATGCAAGGTTGACAGGTGGTACCTCTGCTTAGGAACTTTTACTTTAAAAAGAATAATGGCTCTGGCTGGTGTGGCTAAATGGATTGAGTACCAGCCTACAAACCAAAGGGTCTGTGGTTTGATTCCCAGTCAGGGCACATGCCTGGGTTGCAGGGCAGGTCCCTAGTAGGGGGCGCATGAGAGGTATCCACACATTGATGTTTCTCTCCCTTTCTCCCTCCCTTCTCCCCTAAAAATAAATAAATAAGAATCTTTTTTTTTTAAGTTAGCAATGGACAAACATTTATCCATGAAGTTAAAATACTGTCTCCATTAAAGAGGCATTTTTGTGACACTTTTTAAAAGTTTGATAGGAAAGAGAAAGGGTGAGGTATGATTATCAGAAAGAAGCAACCTTGAGGAAAGGCTATTGTAAAAATCCGTAATACGTCTCTCATAAATATATAAAATTCTAAAATCTTAAAATGGGAAAGAGCTTAGAGATCATTTAGTCTAACCTTGGACTCGTTTTATAGTGAAGGAAACCACCCCCACAGAGAGGAAATGTCTTACCTAAGGACAGAACTGAGGTTTAACTCGAAAATGATAATAAATTATTAATGACAACCATATATAGCTTATTTGATAGGACACTTAGATAGCAAGCTGTAGAAGAGTCACATCAGTATCTTCCTTGGGCAGTTCTAGAACCCCCTCTCTGGGTCTGATCCCTGTGCTCCAGTGTGGTGTGTGTTTGCACAGACTGTGTCTGGCAACGAGGACACAATGTTCATTTTCAATCTCTGGTGTCAGCTTAATTTGATACGTGACACTGCAGTCCGTTGTACCCTGAGAAGCTTATTAAGAGGATGGTATTCCAAGAATTGGTATTAGTGTGAAATCTAAGTGTTTTGTGCCCCTTTCATTTTTTCACACACCTACAGTTCTTGGGGGTAAAACAGGGGTAAGTCACTGGTGGGTCGAGAGGGAAGCACCTGGCATGCCCGTATATAAATACCTCAAGGTTTGAGACCTTACAGAGTGTTCAGGGCCCTTTGAGAGAGCCAGAACTGCTCCAGACTGTGCGCCTTGGACTTTCGCTTCAAGTGGGGAGCTACTGAAGCATTTCAAACAGGGTTTAGGGCAGAATTTAAAGCATGAATATAGTTGCTTTTAATTATTTCTATCACACAATAACATATGAATGCATTCTTATATAAATTTAAATACTAAATCTAAAAGCCAAAGTTCTCCTTTGCCACTCTGTACATCTCCATTTTCTCCTTAGAGTACTGTTTGGTGTGTATAACACATATTAGAAATATAGCTAGGATTATTGTTATGTATGTTTTAAAACAAGTATCTGTCCAGAGATCGATTTGAGGGATAGAGTGTGGGTTTAGGCAATTCTGAGAGCCAGCTGGCCATCTGTTTATTTTGGTTGGTGTTCACGAAGTATTTCAAGTGGAATTCTCACACAGGGTGCCCTGGGAACCACCTGGCAGACTCCAACCACGACAGTTGTGAACCGGCACAGCCTTAAACACCAGGTCGGTCTGTACTGTGGCCTACCCTGGACCAAAAGTTTGCTCCCTGCAGTTGTGCAGTCAGAGGGCAGCTGGAATTCGCAAACATTCAATGTCTCTGGTTGGGATCAGGGAATGGACAATGTGCTTGCCATGTGCTGCAGAACAACAGGAGGATCCAAACATGAGCATCGGGTCCTTTTCTCATGAAAACAAAACATTATTTTTAGCTCGATCTTTTACATTTTAATAAAAGCATATATGTAACAAAACATATCTACATAGTGAAGTGGTTTTCCATTATCAAGTCAAGTTAAAAATTATTATTAATAAACTAACAGAATAAGGACTTATAATATATCTGAGCATATATATATATTAAGGCTGTTACTAAAGTGAGGTCTGGGGCATGGGATCTGAGGAATATAGTTTTAGGAATACATATGGATAGATTTATTTATTCTCTCATTAAGCCATTCAATATACATCTAGTACCTATTATAAGCCTGATCATTTGCTAAGCACTGGTTGAGTCACTCTGTTCTCTTTCTTCCCTTTTCCCTGAATAAAGCCCCCAGCCCAGTTGGACAGGTAAGGTAATGGGTGCTCATAATGGGTTTTACATACAGACAGTGATTTGCCAGTTATTCCATTCATTAAACTATTCCAAAGTTTTGAGGAAAAGCTCCAAGGTTTGAAATCTTCTGTGGAGCCCTGGCTGGTGTAGCTCAGTGAATTGAGCGCAGCCTGTGAACCAAATGGTCGCCAGTTCAATTGCCAAGGTCGATTGCCAGTCAGGGCACATGCCTGGGTTGCGGACCAGGTCCCCAGTGGGGGCCACGTGAGAGGCAATGACACATTGATATTTCTCTCTCTCCTTCCCTTTCCTTTTCTCTAAAAATAAATTAATTAAATCTTTTTAAAAATCTTCCATGGAAACATGCCCTATCACCTACGTGGTGTTTATAATAAAAGACTGCTTCCTGCGACTGATTTGAAATTCCAAAAAAGGTGATGTGGGGGAGGGGGCGAATGTTATTACTGTGCTCTTGGGAAATGTTTTTGGGATTTGTCCAAGTTCTACACTGAGACCGAAGGATCCTGAGCAGGAGGGCAGAGGTCATAACCAAGGATGCAATTTACTAGGATTCTCCCCTGACCTTAATCCCATAAACAGTTGCGGAGGGTAAGAGCAAAATCGAAAGGCATTTAAACGGGGCACAAGCTTTCCCTAAAGCAGATGAGGGAGAAGCACTTTCAACAGGGCCTTGAGGTAGAATCACTAAAAACTTCAAACACGAAGACTTGAATGTTACTCAATCTTATCATATATTGATTCAGCAAATATTTTACTCAAGAAGTCCTGACATCTGCAACATCCTGCTTAAGAAAAATGATTTTAAATATATCAATATTCTCTACTCCTTTAAGGTAAGTGATGCAGGAGCTGGAGGCTCCGTGGGAGCTGTTCCCAGAAAGCTCCGGGAAAGTTCCCAGATCGTCAGCACAAGTCTGGAAAGGGGCGTGGGCGCGTTACAGTGGAGGACCGGGGATGGAGTCTGTGGCTGTCCCAAAGGAGAAAAACTTGCCAAGAAAAGAGAGGATGCAAAACTGCTCACCCAAGCCTGGAATTCAAAGGGGTCTCCCACACAGTTTTACACCGCGGAGAGGGAACCTGCTTCCTCCAGAGGATGCGAACTGAAGGCACAGGCAGGTCCCACAGGAGCTCGAGGACCTCCTCCTTCCATTCCCATAACCTCTCCCTCGGCGCCTACATTAGATAGGTGACCCAGACCTAACACAGGGGCAACTCAGACCACCTCTACCCCCGGATCCCCCCTCCAGAGCCTAGGCGGACCTCGGCTTAGTCTACTGCGAGAAGAAGGAGGAGCTCTAGGATTCTGGCCGGTCCGTCGCCATGGTGACCACGGGAGCCCCGCCGCCCCGCCCCTTCCTCACGACGTGACCCCACCTCCTTCAAACCCGGAAGCGAGAGAGTTGCGCCTGATGCGCGGACGTTTCAGGAGGAGGGAGCGGGGCGGCCCAGGTTCGCTCGGCCGCGCGCCCCGCCCCTCCGGGGCCCGCTGTCCCGTGCGCCCCTACTGCTTGCTGCGCCTTCGGGTTCCGAGCGCTCTGACCTCCGGTCCCCACGCGGTCCCAGCCACCTCCCCGGCTCGCCCCCGCCCTGGAGGAAAGAGCCGCCTTGGGAAGGAGGGTAAGGGACGTGGGGGCGGCCACGGCAGGTGAGGGGTGGGCGAGGCCCCGGGAAACGGGGTGTGGTGTGTGACGTGTAGGGGGTTGCGACTGCCTCAGTGGTTGTGACTTTGTGAGTGGTCCGATCCATGTGACCGTGCATGTGATCACATGTCCCTCTGTGTGCGTGTGTGTATGTTTGTGTATGTGTGTGTATGAGAGAGAGACAGACTGAGCTCAAGTCTGAGTTCTTGGGGGTGGTTGGTGTGCCTGTGACCCTGCCCTTGTGCGGCTGACGCCGGCGTAACCCGGAGAGGATCGGGGTCCGTGTGGGGATCGCCTGGGGTGAGGGTAGGGGGCGCTTGACCAGGGCAAGCTCCTGTAATCCCATCCTGGGGCTACACTGCTGCAGCCCAGGAACATGTCTTCCAGTAAACTTTTAAGAACTCTGAGCAGAGGCCAGTTGTTTTGGAGTTTGTGCCTCAGCCTGAAAGTGACAAATGACTTTGTCACCGCTGAGTAGGGCCAGGTGTGAGACTTGTGAATGGGGGTTGAGAAAAGTAGCAGGGCTAGAGTGTCTCTTTTCCTCTTCTCATTTCCAGGAGTTAGGAGTTCTGCATTTATGCTGCTTCTCCACCTTACAATACTGCAGCTCCTGTTAGCACAAAGATTCAAGAGACTGAGGAGTAACTTAATAGCTGTGTGCAAATTCCAAAAGCTTTTATACCAAGACAGCACACAGGATGAGGTGTCACAGAAGAAATGTCAAGTAGGCAGTTTTTCCTCCCATGAGGTTTAGAAGATAATGGAGAAAAAAAGTTCATGGAAAAAAAAGAGGGCTAAATCTTCCTCTGAAGAGATCTAAAAAAAGATAGCTGTTTGCTAGTGTGCTAAGGTATGGAGACTTACTTTTAAAAGCCAGTTGCATCGCCTGGGGACTCTCAGGTTTGATTTTTTTTATTGTGGAATTAATAATCACACATTGTCCATATGTAGATCAACTACAGATTGAGATAAAGGATCAGAAAACCTCTGACAAGTTAAGCTAGTTATGTGACAAATTCCTAAAGCTGATTTAATTGACTGTAAACTGGCAGGTTCTGTTGAAACTCTGAGATGTAAGTGCTGGTAATTCTTAGTGAACACTCAAAACTGGCAGTTTCATTTTTGGGCAGCTCTTGGGCCAGGGAGGACCAAGTGTCCAGAGCTCTCCAGGAGGAGGGGCTTCCTTGGGCAAGAGGAAGGTTAATCTCTATGGCCCTTTCCCGACCAGCATGAACAGGTGCTTTTGTTTTGGGGAAGAATTGAATTGTGAGAGATCAAATCAGTGTTGAGCTCATGGCCCACATTCTTTCCTTTTTAATACCAACCAGTTTGGTCACAATCTCAGTTAACCTTTTTTGCCATACACAGAATGTTACTCCTGTGACTTGGAAAAGTATTCCCCTTAAGTTGGTGAGAGAGGGCTGGGAGAACAAACTTCCTTTTCATACTGCTCACAGCTGCTTTCCCTTTGCAGCAGTGAGCTTTTTTTTTTTTCCACTTAGACGTCAGTTGGTCATTTGCAGCATTTGGTATCTGTCTTACCTTTCATGTGCTGCCAAACCAGCACAAGTGTTAAAATCACTTGCCACTACAAAAATTTAGTCACAGTTGAGTGGAATCTCTCCAGCAAGATTTGTTATAAAATGTTATGATACTGGGGTGGTTGTGAATAACATTGAGGACTGTGGTAAGGAACGTCTTTCTATTGATTGCTTTGGGGAGAAGTGGATGGCAGTGTGTGTACTTGTGTTTAGTAGTTTGGTTAGTACATTGCAGTTGATTCCAGACTGTAATTTGTTTTATATGCCACATTTGGTAAATCTAGAGGGAAGCTTTCTGGTTTTAATTACCTATGGTGTTATACAAACCTATTGAGATTTTCTTTTTGCTAAACATGTCTTTGATATTCTCTTCTGTAAAATCGTAATTGTGTATAGTAATGCAATAGTAAAAAAAATGTTTCCACTGGGAAGTATTTAGATGATACAGAAATATTTCAAATCTATCCAGGTTGAAAATATTACAGAATTAACTATATGTGCTAGTTGCTTTCAATTAAAAGTAATAACCAGCTCAGGGAAAGGCTGTAGCTCAAATGGCTAAGATTTTTTTAACATGTTAATATTTAAGAGAAATGGGATATGCAAAGAATGGTTTTCTTTATTTCAATGTGAATAACTATCTGTGCACACTGATTTTCAGGGTAAGACTGGCTAATCATTTTCTTGGTACTTTAGAGCAACTTATGAATGTAACAAATTTTTCTAAAAGTTCCATCCTAGCCTTGAGAAAAGAGACCATTATTACAACACTGAGATTGTAAATCAAGTTCAATATTGTGTGTCTACATTTACCATTTCCTTGGGGCTCGGGTCAGTAACCTGCCCCCGCAGTGTTGGAACTGACAGCCAAGGCCACTGAGGGCCCCATATGCCTGAGGCAGCAGATGTGAAGGCTGAGAAGGAAGAGCTCCATTGAGTTTAGAACCCCCTGCCTTTGGTTGGTCCAGAGGAGCTTCTCTAAAATGTCAGCCTAGAAGTTAGGTCCTAGGGCTTCAAACGCATCCCAGCCCTGCTAGGAAGTCCAGACTTGCCCTGGGGTAGAGGGCAGGGTACATTGCAAGTATTTGAATCCTTTGAAACCAATGGGTGGAAGTTCCTCATTTGGCAATAAGAGCCTGCAACAGGGAGCTATAATTTCAGGTTCCTATTATGACATAACACAGATAGATACCTGAGCAGTGAGAACAGCCTTTGACTTGAAAATGCTCAGCCAGTTTAAAACCCATAGTTGCCCAGGTTAGAAGGGACTCTAGGATTGCCTAGTTCAGTATCCTTAAGACATAGTCACTCATTTAGTCAATAGATAATGTCTGCTGTGTGCCAAGCACTATTCTAGGCTTTGGACATAAGAGCAAAACAGTCATAGATGAGAAAATAAGCCCAAAGAGGGTCTGTGACTGTTCCAAGGTCACATGTTTTTCCTAAAGTCACGTTTTGTTTGGTTGCTTGTTCTAGTGCATTCAAGCCTACCCTGGTATATTGTCATAGATCTTTCAGAGGATGTTATATCATTTTTTTTTAAGATTTTTAAAATTTATTTTCAGAGAGGGGAAGGGAGGGAGAAAGAGAGGAAGAGAAACATCAATGTGTGGTTGCCTCTTGCGCACCCCCTCCTGGGAACCTGGCCAGCAGTCCAGGCATGTGCCCTGACTGGGGAATTGAGCTGGTGACCCTTTGGTTCGCAGGCCTGCACTCAGTCTACTGAGACACACCATTCAGGGCAGATATTATGTCATTTTTAATCACACCAATATGAACAGCAATTTTCCTAGATTTTTGTATTAAGAACTACATGAGAATTTCTGATGTTATGTTCCACTGGAGTTAAATTTATGGCATTTGGTGAATTGATCAGGAAGCAGGCTTACATTAACTCCTTTCTCCAGTGTGGGCTGTTCCCTGTAATTCTGTCAGACAGGAACAGCTTTACTGAAACGGACTAATAAGGCATTAAGGCATTGTCAAGGGTAGGTGATGGTGCTGCAGTTCGGAGTCATTTAACCAGGACAGGCAACCTGCTGTCAGAAGAGCATCTAGTCCTAGCTCCGCAATAGTCATGGGATCTCTGGTACGTCATTTACATTTTGTAGATCAGATTCTTCTTCTGAAGGAACTGAGGAGGTTTGAATAATTATCTGTCAGGGCTCCCTCCTGCTCTACAATTATATCACATTTCACTCAGTTTTCTGTAGTTTAAGTATATACCAGCAGTGGAAAAATAACTAATTTTCTCGGTTTTACCCTTTAAAGTATGTATTGTTGGTGTAGCTAGACCAGACTCTACATGTAGGTCTGATGTAAACATGAGTTTTTGACATGAAACATCACATGCTTTTCATTTCAGGGTTAACCTCCACTTCAGCCAATCATGGGAGAGATTAAAGTCTCTCCTGATTATAACTGGTTTAGAAGTACAGTTCCCCTTAAAAAGGTAGGTATACTTTTACTACACCTTTTTTTTGCAAAATCTTATGTTGTTTTTGTGTGTGAGGTAGATGTTATGTCTTAGTCATGTTCGGGGGGAAAGGTTATTTGCCAAGTATCATGACTTTGAGTTGTGGAACATAAAGGTCACCCCATCTGTCAAGTACAGTCAGCTTTTGAGACTTATCAAAAGTAAAAGTGAATATAACTATACTCATTATTTTATAATTACTTTTACATATTCAAGCAAGCAAAATATGTGTGTTCTTCAGTATAGCTTAGTGAAAAGCTCACAGTGACAGCAACTATACAGAAAGGGCAATGAGATGCTATTATAAAGCACTTTTCTGTACCTCGGCTTTAAGATTTATAGTGGGTTACGTTAGAGGTCCTCTGTCAGCAGTGGTATACTCGCACTGCCATGGTCATCTTCTGGGAAGTTTCTTTCCATGGGATGTCCAAAAACACCAAACACTTATTTTGAAATTTTGCTATTGACTCTGAATCCCAAATTAATTCTAAGTGATTGGGGTTCATACTAGACAAAGGCTGTTGAAGTCACAGAGGAAAATCTTTGCTGATCCCCTTGCCTAAGTATCAGAGTACAAGGATCTGAAGATCATTTATGTCTCTGTAATGTTGTCAGGGTAGACAGCTGTGAAGTGTTAGTTACATTTGAATTAATAACAAAATTACTCTCCATGTAGAAATTTGAGGTACAATTCTCCAAGTATAGACAGACTACCTTCTGTATACCTGGCACTATTGTAGGAAGTCCCTAGTATCTCATTTAATTCTCTCAACATAGTCGGTAGTGGTATACCCATTTTACAGATGAGAAAACTGAGGTTCACAGTGGATTAGCTTGTTATAAAGGTCACACAGCCTGGTAGGGTCTGGATCAAACTCAAATTAATTTGGCTTCAAAGCCGAAAGTACTTCGCTGCTTACTGAAGGGAGCCCTTCCTTTCTTTTTGCTACCAGGGAAACTCCTTACAGCCCAGCGAAGAGAAGACTTGGCCTCTGGGGCCCCTCAGCTTTGTCCTTTCCCTTCCAGTTAACCCGTATGAGCTCCTCTTGATGGGCTCACCCGTCAAGCTGATCGCCAGAACCAAAACAACCCAAACTTACCTGAGTAGTCTCAGAAGCAGTTACAGGAGGTTGTTTTATTGATATGATTTTCTGCAGTTGTCACGTCAGTTTGTTCCACCAAAGTCATGATAAATTAACTGATAAATTTTGTGGTTCTAGACTTTAAATTATTAAACAGATATTGTGTCTTCCAAAGGATTTCTGACAAAATTACTATTCACAGAACTCTGAGAAAGTTGCAATGATAAATAACCTTTAAGTATTTGAAATTTTACTGTTGACTCTGAATCCCAAATTCTAAATGATTTAGAATATACCGTGTCAATTATATCTCAATAAAACTAGGGGGTGGGGGAAGAAAAAGAGAATATGCTATTTTTGTTACTTTTCTTGCAAACTGGATAATTGAAATGCTTTTCTGGAAAATTTTGGAGATCTTTTCTCATGTGAACTTTGTTACTGCAAAGCTGAGATTTACTGTGTGCGCTGACAGAGGCCACTGAGAGATTTTAGCACAAGAACAGGAAAAAGACATGAAAAGCAAAAATATGAGTGAAAGATACAAAGGGTAAAAATATAAGCGTGAGATACTACTGTGACCACCTGTGACCTTTGGACTTTGGGAAGTCCAAAACGGAAGGGTTAGGGCCCTCTGGACTTTGCCTCACCCAGTTTTCTGCTTCTGGTAACATCAGTGACCATGGTTAGTGCACTGCCACCCAGAGTGACACCGTGGGGGTCAGGGCACTGCCAGCTAGGAGATCTCAGAAAATAGAACGTGGAGGCCTTGAACTTCTGGATAAATATTGATTGTATTGGCAAAAGTTCAAGCCATTAATGTACTTTTCCAAATACCACCAAAAGTCAAAGAAAACAGAACTTAAACCATCACGCAATGGATAATACTAATAGCTAGCACTTATTGAACACCGAGCATCTGCCAAACTCTGTGGAGCATTTGAGTAGTTTCAGCTCATTATTGCTCATTGTCCTTCCCCTGTTGGGTCCAGAACCTTTCAATCAGGAAGGTTTCTGATGACCTTGCTCCTTTCCACCCACTTCCCCTGCTCAAAATAAATAAATAAATAAAAGAGGCAGTTTTCCTGTACCCACTCCCTGCCTCCCACTAAATGGTTTGAAACATTCTCCTGGACAGTGATACCCACACCCTCCTGGTCCCTCCTCTCTAGCAGAAATCCCCCCTTTGGAAGCTCTGTCCAGATCAGGTTCCTGAAGCATCTCCTGAGTGGTACTGTCTCTACCCAGTTTCTCCCTAAGGCCTGAAGTCTTGCCTCCCCTGTGCACACACTGACCCTGCTGATCCCACTCGGTTTGCTGGGCCAGCCCTGGAGGATGACCCTGCAAACCGCCCTCCCCCCTCGCACATGGATGGGGAAGAAATAAGATGCCATGTACTGAGTTTACTGTCTAATGGTAAACCAAAGAGATTTCATGTAATCATGGATGGAAAGGAAGATTAAAAACTGGAGGAAGAAGCAGCTCTGTGGAATGCGTCCTTAGCACCAAAGAAGGAGAAAGAGACCAAAGCAGTTTATTTTACATACTAGTCTGGTATGACCCCCAGGTTACCTTGTAACAAACAAGGCAGTGTTAAAATTGTCAGCGAAATCACAGTGTGAAGTTAACCATACAAAAACCAAATCCGCAAGACTTTCCATTTTTCTGTAACTTCCCCTCCAGATTATCGTGGATGATGATGACAGCAAGGTGTGGTCGCTCTATGACGCAGGTCCCAGGAATATCAGGTGTCCTCTCATCTTTCTCCCCCCAGTCAGCGGGACTGCAGATGTGTTCTTCCGGCAGATTTTGGCTTTGACCGGATGGGGTTACCGGGTGATAGCGGTAGGTGTTACTGATTCAGCATTCCAGTTCGGGTCTTTGTGTTTCTTTTGTGCTTCTGTTTCTGATTGACTGTAGTGCAGGGCACGTTTTTTTTGATTGAGGTAAGATATTGTGTCCCTTTTTGAAAACGGGAAGTGAAGTCTTCTGAGGGAAGGTGGTACAGTAGAGACTACAGCAACGCCGAGGGGACACGCCTCTGTTGGGAACCTTCTCCACCCCCAGCTTTTCTGTGTGTTCTCTCCCGTAACTCTGGTCAGTAGGAAGCACTGTCCTTTTTCAGCCAGGAGGACACTGAGGTCTGGGCCATTTTTGTGCTCACCACAGGTCGCACAGCCAGTGGGTGGTTCAGGGAGCGCCCAGCTCAGTCCTTGGACTCTACTCCCACTCCCTCTGTCACACCGGGAGGTGAGCGTGGAATACGAGACAGCAGAGATCCGCTAACGTCCAGGTGGCTAAAAGCTCCCCTTCAACCTCTGACTGTTGAAGTGAGGTTCACTAATGAGTTCATAGCCTTAGCATTTGATTAAGAACTTTTTGGTTTCTAGTTGTTATTTTACCACTGAGTCTGGTCTAAATCTCGTTTCTCATTGGTCATTCTTGAGTCGCCTTGCTTGGGAGGATGGTGTGGGTGGGGAAGGCCCCGTAGCTGGTGACCGGTGTTTTTGGCACGCCTGCACCATGAAACGACAGTGGCAGTTGGGCCCCAAACTTCCGAAGCAGAGGTTCCTCTGCTGTGGAGCTGGCAGTTGTCTCTGGGACCCTGAATATTAACATGTACGTGGTACTTCCTGTGGGACAACCCCTGCTATTATGTATTTTATTTCCTACTTAATGGAAAGGAAATGTGGGCCAGATCTCTTCTCTGGGAAGGTAACCAAAAATTCTACTAAGAGCACCACCAGCTGGGGCCACACAAAGCAAATCCAGTTCCTCTTCCTCCTGACAATGCTTTTCTTTCTCAAGAAAACTAGTTATTATCAGCAGACACCGCCTGCTGCCTTCCTCCCAGGTCTTGTCTTCTCTGCTTAAATTTTTCCAGTCTTGAACCATCTCTGGTAGGGCTGTTTGCATCCCTGCAGCATAATCTCTCTTGTTTTAGGTTCTCAGCAGTCCCTCCTGTAGACGCGCTGTGTGAGAGCAGGGTGGGGACCGCCTTGTCCCAGTGCCCTCGGCCTCACATGTGACCATACCTTTCCTGAAATCAGACGCCATGTGCAGAGTCGCTGAGAAGTGCTGTTAGGAGAGGCCTGCAGTTTCCAGATGTATATGAGTTACAGTTTGTCTTTAGAGCTTTTAAAATAAAATTTAAAATTTGTTATTATTTCAGTTGCAATATCCAGTTTATTGGGACCATCTTGAATTCTGCGACGGATTCAGGAAACTTCTAGACCACTTACAGCTGGATAAAGTGAGTACCAGGACACTACTTACGTGCATGCCGAATGCAGCATTTACCTTGCACAGCCTGCTGCTCCCTTTCTCTTATTTTTTAACAACAGCTCGTTGAAGATGAAAGTCGCATACCATACCATTTACCCTTTTTCAAGTGTGTAATTCAACGGTTAGTACATTCACAGAGATGCGCAGTCAGCACCAGAGTCGGTTTGAGAACTTTTTTCCCACTCCAGAAAGAAACCCCACACTCAGCAGTCAGTCCTCCCCCTCCCCCCAGCAACCCACTGCACTTTCTGTCTCTGTGTGTTTTCCTGTTCTGCATATTTTATATAAATGGAATCATTCTATCTGGTCTTTTCTGACCGGCTTCTTTAGCCTAGCATAAAGTTTCTGAGTTCCATCCATGTGTCAGTACTTCATTCCTTTTTATTGCCAAATAATATCCCATGGTATGGACATAGCACCTTTTGTTTATCCATTCGTCCACTGGCGCACATTTGGATTGCTTCCAGAATATTTGGCTGTTATAAATATCGCCACTGCGGACGTCCCTGCACGGTTTTGGTGTGGACGTGCGTTCTCCATTTTCTTGAGCATAGAGTGGGATTACTGAATCGTAGTTTTCTTAAACAGAAACTGCTAAGTGGTTTCATTTTTTTTCATGCAATCTGTGAACAGTGTCTTTTAACTCGTAGAATTTGTACACACAGTTGTATTGTTTTCTTGAGAGATGTATAAACTGCATCTAAATATAGTATGTCCTAAAATTCTAACAGCTGCAGGTATTTTAGTCTATTGGCTGGTCGTGACATTCTATTCTGTGGTTGGTGACAGTTAAAAACAACTTTTCGAAAAAAATACACTTATGTTCAGGATTGGTCGTTGTTATGGGATCCTCTTTGTGTTTGTTTACAACCAGGTTCATCTTTTTGGGGCTTCTTTGGGAGGCTTTTTGGCCCAGAAATTTGCCGAATATACACACAAGTCTCCCAGAGTCCATTCCCTCATCCTCTGCAACTCCTTCAGCGACACCTCCATCTTTAATCAGACGTGGACTGCAAACAGGTGAGAATGTGAACATTCGGCCAAAAGTCTTACTCTGTGCTCAGTGGAAGTCTGAAAAGGTTAGCTTTTGTGTTTGTCTGTTTGTCTGTTTGTCTGTTTGCTGTACCAGGGCAGGAGGGAGGGCGGTCATATCTACTTCTGTCTTCTGACACTGTCCTGGCTTTTAAAATTAGAAATAGTCACCTTTGCACGAGAAGAGAATTGAATGAACCCAGAAGTCAGCGATGTCATTTACTCTGAATTATCGGGTAGCTCTGTTTACTAGGCATCCACATGCCCTCGCCGCTTCTCTTTGGCACACACACAGCTTTCTCGTGTCCTGCTTGTTCCACTCGTGTTGGGCAAACAGTTCTGTGTATTGACCACTGCAGTTCTTTAGGCATTGGCTTCTCCCCAATTTTTTTATCATGTTCTACTGTAAGTCTTTGTACAGATTACCTTTTTCCTTCCCTCTCTGGGTTATTTTCTTGAGATATGCCCTCCAAAATGGAGGAACTAGAGCATTTAGTCTGTCAGCAGGAATTCTGCCGGCCCTGATACTTACTGTCCGGCTGCTTTTCAGAAAGGTGGGGACGAGGACTGCTTCGTGGGGCAGTGGGGCGTGTCTGCTTCCTCCGAGCCACCCTTTCGTTGATTTTGTCATTTTAATCAGTCTGATAGGTATCTAATGATGCCTTACAGCTGACTTACGTGCATTTCTCTCATTGCTAGCAAGGCTAGGCTCTACCCTAGGAAAAAGCTCAGTGACCAGACATACCTGTCTGATCAGGTTGGTTTTCACGTAATGTTACAGGTAAATGATATTTTCGTGATTTTCACATTTACTTAAGATTGTACTTCTATTTTTTAACACTTTTCCTGATGTCATCTCAGTAGTTTACTCAGCATTCACGCAACGATTTCTTGTATATGTCAGCTACAAGTACATTATATTCAGGCGATGTACTAAAGCTCTTTGATTATTTTTGATGATTTTTTTTTAAAGAAAGATTCTATTTATTTATTTTTAGAGAAAGGAAGGAAAAGAGAGAGGGAAAGACACATCAATGTGTGGTTGCCTCTCACACGCCCCCTGCTGGATATCTGGCCCACAACCCAGGCTTGTGCCCTAGACAGGTGACCCTTTGGTTCACAGGCTGGCACTCAACCCACTGAGCCACACCAGCCAAGGCTATTTTTGATGATTTTTAATGTTTCAGTGGTTAGAAGCCTAGACTGATCTCATTTCGTGTTCTTGCAGATCAGCTACTTTTTATCAAATACCTGAGCACTTACTGCATGCCATACACTAAGGCCAAAGGGGCAACATAGCCAACAGGGTCCACCCCTCACAGAGCACACCTAGGCATTGTCCTTTTTAGGAGATGGGAGAGCTGTGGGGGCAGGTGGGGAACTCCGGTAAGTGAAAGGCAGCCAACTGTTCTTGTGAGGGAGGCTCCGCTGCCCACAGGCCATTCTACTGAGCGTGTGCATCAGGAGGGGGTCTGCACCTTTTATAGTCTTCTCAGTACAGGCTTAGAGAAATTAGTGCTTAGCCCACACAATGGCTCCTCGAATTTGTAATTAATGGAATAAACATCAACCAAAAATCAAATAATAGAAATCCATAAAGATGAAATCTTATCTTGGGTTAGCCCAGTTGAATCTAATAGCAAACTTTGGGAGGTACAGTAACTCTTTCATTTTGCTATTTTGAAATATCAGTCAATCCAAAGGTGATATAAACACGAAGGCCAATATCTTAAGTTTTCAGTCTTCTAAAGGAAATAGCTTAGCACTGGAAACAAGGCCAGTTGGAGGGGGAGGAAGTCTTGGAACCATCAGAATGTCTACCTTAGTAAAGGTATTTTGAAATATCACTTACAATTATTCAGATCCTCAAAAGTTTAATCATATTAAGCCATAACTCAGGGAGCCCTGGAAAGTTTATATAAAAACAAGGTGCTGAGCCCTTTGAAAGGAGGGACTAGGTCTTTTTTATCTTCGGATCCCAAGTGCCTACCTAATACAGTGCTGCAGGGTTGAATGAACATTTGCTACTTACGGGTAGTCTTGGCAGTTTAAATGATGAGGTCTTTGTTTTACAGCTTTTGGCTGATGCCATCATTTATGCTCAAAAAAATAGTGCTTGGAAACTTTTCCTCTGGCCCAGTGGACCCTGTGATGGCTGATGCCATTGATTTCATGGTGGACAGGGTAAGGATCATAGCGTTGGGGGCGGGGGAGGGGGAAATTTTGTACTGGGAGCTGTCCTGTTTCTTTGGTTCCTGAAGGTAATCTGTCTCATGTAGTATGTATTGGAGGTGCTCGTTAACCAGACTCGAGTATTAACTTTAGTAAATCCAAAAGATATTTCTGCTGGTAATTCATCAGAATCATTGTGGGGAGCTTTTCAAAGTACAGACTCCAAGGCCTCACACCAGACGATTGGACTGAAATTCCTGGGCATGGGATTCCTGTGTTTTTATTCCACTCCTCCCACCCACCCCCAGTTTCTCTGGGTGAATTGGATGTAACAGGTCTCTAGACTCAAATTTAAAACTACTGGGCTAGATGATTTTTCTGAGGTTTTAGCCAGCTCTAGGGTCTCCTAAATGTTTATCTGTCATCTTGGAGCTGTGGGAACAGCCCATGGCATGTAGCTGAAGAAGCAGTTCCAGCCGAAGACTGTGCAAGACAGGTTCCCAGGAGAGGAAAGCACCACCGCCTGAGAGGCCTTGCTGATGTCTCTCAAGTACATCGTTTCCTTGTCGGTGACCTTTCCGGCCCCACCACACGTGATACCACTTTTATGAGCAGATATTGTCTGTGGACTTAATGTAAATGTGGAAAGCAAAGTTAATTTAAAAGCTTTACCTGTGTTTCTTTCTGTAGCTGGAAAGTTTGGGTCAGAGTGAACTGGCTTCAAGACTTACCCTGAATTGTCAAAATTCTTATGTGGAACCTCATAAAATTCGGGACATCCCTGTGACCATCATGGATGTAAGCTTCCTTTTAAGTCGTGTAGATGCTCTGTCTTTTCAAAAGTGCATGTCAAGATCCTCCTCATGATTATTGTATAATTTTTCAATGTTCTTCTTCAAATGCAGCCTTGAGTTTTTTTTTTAACTTCCCAGCCTTCTTAATTGCAAAACAATCTGTTTATTGCTTGTTCTGTATTTTTCCCAGCAGGAATAACACCATTGAAATCAGAATAAATTTAAAACAAACATGGTAGTTCTTACCCACTATGGTATATTTCTGTTATTCTTAGCAGCAGCTCAGCTATCACACATCTGGGCAGCAAAGAGAAGGTACCTCAGGAGGGCAGAGAATCAAGGATTCCATAAGTCTAATTAGTACAAAAACTTCTTACATCTTTGAGTTGTGGTAAATATGCACACAAAAGTTCACAATTGTTTACCATTTTTGAGTGTGCTGTTCAGTGACTTTAAGTACATTGACAGTGTTGAGCAACCATCACCATTATCTGCTGCCAGAACTTTTCATCACCCCGACCTGCAACTCTGTGCCCATTACACAGCACTCCCCATTGCCCCGCCTCCCAGCCCCTGTAGCCATGTGGCAGCATGTGTCAGAATGTCATCCTATTGTAAGGCTGAGTCACATCTCATCATATGTCTAGACCACACTTTATTCATCCATTCATCTGTCGATGGGTTGCTCCCGCCTTTTGGCTATTGTGAATAATGCTGCTCTGAACGTGGGCGCGCAAACATCTGTTTGAGTCCTTTTAATTCTCCTGGGTCTACACCTAGAAGTGGGGCTGCTGAAATCGTATAGTGATTCTGTGCTCACCTTCTTGAGAAACCATATCGTCTTCCATGGTGACTGGCATTCCACACCCCCACCAGCAGCGTGCACTGTTCCATATCCTCGCCGATACTGGTTCTTTTCTGCCATTTTGACAACGGCCATCCTGGTGGATGTGAAGCGGTATTTCACTGTGCTTTTTTGGCTTGTATTTTTTTAATATCATAGAACTATTATGCCTCAAAACCCTATTTATCCCTAAATGCAAATAATTGGGTATTTTTAAAAGTTCATTTTTGTCAGGAAATTACTCATTATGAGCATGTAAACAGTAACTTTTTATCATTTTACACTATAATGTCTGCATTCAACGCTTACCATGACATGGAGCAGGCGTTTTGGGACTCTCAGTGAGATCTTTGCTCCTCACAGCGCATTTGATCTGCTTGCTCATCTTTTAAAACTGTGCCCACCGCTTGGATATATGCCCACCACTTGGGTGTATGGTCATATATAAGCATTAGCAAGTTGAGATGCATTTTTTATTGCTTTTAAATTACTTTTTGAAAAAAATTTTGCATATGTATATGAACATCAATTTGTATGGGCATTAAAAAATATCTGAAATCATATGCCCCAAACTGCTAGCTGTGGCTCTAGACTTTTTCTTATACTCTAAATTGTCTTAGAATTTTTTTTTTACTGAGCATATTCTACTTATGTAGCTGTGTTTAATAATAAAATTAAAATGTCCTTTTGGGTCAGGCCATCACTCAGTCCACCGAGCCACACCAGCCAGGACTAATTGGCATTTTCAGCAATGTTTGTTCACTGTTAATATTGTATTAATTTAATTAGCTATGTTTGAGGAAAAAGAAAATTCGTAGGAGAATTTTCCCCTCATAAATGCAAGAAACATTTGGCAGCAAAATCTGTAGTTAGCGTCATACGTTGGAATTAGAGTCATCAGGGGTCAGCAGGAAGAGGTGCTCCAGACTGCATAGGGACTCCATGAGTGGCTCCTCATGAGAAAGCAATGCTGAGGGTCATCCTTTCCATAATGTGAAAAGAACATACCAAAATACCAGTAGGTTTCAACCTTGTCTTTCTTAAAAAGGTGTTTGACCAGAGTGCACTTTCCACTGAGGCTAAAGAAGAAATGTACAAACTATATCCCAATGCCCGGAGGGCTCACCTTAAAACAGGAGGCAATTTCCCATACTTATGCAGAAGTGCGGAGGTGAATCTTTACGTACAGGTGAGTCCCAGCTTGGAACCCAGAGCACTTTGAACCCAAAAGTCTTTGATTTGAAACATAAATCTTTTTTTTGATAGTGGAGTAGAACTACAGAATTCTCTGTAGGATTGAGGCATCGATTCAATACAGTTGGCTTACGTTAATTTATTGGAGTAGGTACATTAGAGATACCCGTGTTGCTCTGTTCACCATCCCTTTTCTAAGAACTGCAGGCCCTCCTGCCTCTACACACTGAAGCAGCCATTTGATAGGATTCGACCTTAACCCCTGACACAATGAGTTCAGTCAGAGCAGGACACCAGACAGAAATGGGGTCAATCTGAGTTCCATGAAGTGACTTCTTGATCTATTTTTAATGCATTCACAACCCCACAAAAAATAAAAAATACCACCTCTTCATCCTCTCCCTAAATGGACGTTAGAATGTCAGTGAGACTGAGGTGGGGGAGGGATTGGAAGCAAGGGAGGGAGGTGGGTTTGGCCGGGGTCGGGGGGAAGTAAATGCAGACCACTGTAATTGAAGAGCAAGAAAATAATTTAAAAATATATATCATACATAGACACAGACAACAGTGTTGTGATAGCCAGAGAAAAAGGGGCTTGGGGGTAGGGAGGGGTGGGCAAAAGCGGGGGAAGGGGTGAAATAGAGATGCAGAGAGACTGCTCAGGGGAGTGGGCGCAACATGCAGTGTGCAGGTGATGTTTTGTTGAGTTGTACACTTGAGACCTCTGTAAATTCAATAAAAAATAAAATTTATAAAAGCATATCAGTGAGAAATCATTACTTTGGCAGAAAGTATCAAGAGTCTTAAAAAAAAAACTCACATCCAGCCCTGGCTGGTGTAGCTCAGTGGATTAAGCGCGGGCCTGTGAACCAGAGGATCGCAGTTTGATTCCCAGTCAGGGCACATGCCTGGGTTGCAGGCCAGGGGGTGGGAAGGACCTGCTGTGCAGCTGCAGGGTGGGGTGGGGGTGAAGCCCTAGTGGAGTGGCACGCACCACTTAAGATGTTTATGAAGTTTGCCAGAACTTGGAGAGACTGACTACATATTAAATAAGGAACAAAAATCCCAGATTGCGGTTTTCTAAAAAATACTTCGACTTTTCTGTGTTCTCCAATTTTTCTTTAATTAGTATGGATTACTGTAATTTTAGGAGTACAAGGCATTTATAGAGTGGTGACATTTAAGGTAATGATTCTGCTTTTCTACAGATACATTTGCTGCAATTCCATGGAACCAAATACGCGGCCATCGACCCATCGATGATCAGTGCCGAGGAGCTCGAGGTGCAGAAAGGCAGCCTCGGCATCGGTCAGGAGGAGCAGTAGCTGGGGCCTCCGCTGGTGCCGGCGAGGGCCCCGCGCCCTCGCGCAGAGTCAGTGATGTCAGTGCGCACCAGTTGGCCCCTCTGCTCAGTTTGTCAGGCTCACCTGTTACCACTGTTTGGAAGTAGGACTGATTGTCATCTCCATGACAGGCGGCAGCTCTTCCAAGCCAGTGTAACTGTTCCCTCTTCCGTTTTTTTAGCTTTTGAATTTGAAGAGGTACTTTTAAAGAGTCCCGTTTTAATAATTGTGAAAATTTTGCTACCAAAAGTCTTCACCATTGTGTTCTTATGTGAATGTTAATTTCTGATGTTTGAGATTTTGTGGGGTTTTTTCTTCGTCTTTTTCCCTTTCCTTTCCTTCTTATTATGTTATTTGTTGTAAATACCATACATCCAGATTGTGTATCAGAAGGACATTGGTTGTTTTGATGCTTTCTTGGTTATGACTGTCACCAGAGTGCCAAGGCTGCTTGCTATCACACCATTTGCTCTCCTGAAAATCAACTACTTCTGACTTCCAGTTATGCAAATTGTTTTGAGTTTCAGCTCTTGTCTTTCTAGCATTACAGTAATTTGGAATAAAAATTCAATTTCAGTGAGTGGCTTTTGTGATTACTGTAGCAGGCCAACCAGGCTGCACAGGCATAGGACTTGCTGAGAGCAGGCCACGGTGTTTGCCCACTTGGTGTGACTGGGTAAATTACTTAATCTCTCTGAAGCAGGGTCCCCCACCCTGGGACTGCCAGACCGGTCTGTGGCCTGTTTAGGGACTGGGCCACAAGCCAAGCTCACCAGAGCTCCGCCTCCTGTCTCCCTGCCACCCCCACCCCCCACCACACACACACAAATCCCCTTCCCTTACATGGAAAAACCGGTCCCTGGTGCCAAAAAGCTTGGGGACCGGACTGCTGCTCTAAGTGTGGTTTGCTCATTTATTGAGCTGCTACTACGTGCCAGGTGATTTTCATATTTTTTTCTCTTTAGTGGAAAATTTCAGCCATGCATAAAGTAGACAAAATAATATCATGAACCATGTCCCAATCACCAGCTCCAAGAATGATCAACTCGGGGGCACTGTTGTGTTATCTCCCCCACCCACCGTCACCTCCACACCTGCCCGTGTCACTGAGCTACTTAAAGCAGTTTCCGATACCATGTGATTTCACTTACAAGTATTTTTATACACCCCTTCAAGAAACAAAATAATTATAATGCCATTACCATGCTTAAAAACTCACCAGCAACTCCTTATGTCATTAGAAAATGTTCTCATTCACGACTATCTCATAAATGTCCTTTTGTGATTGACTTGTCCTCATCAGTTTCCATGCAAAGTTCACACTTTTTATTTGATTGAAATGTCTCTTAAATCTCTTTTAAATTATGAATTCCTCTGCCTTCTATTTTTTGCCATTTATTTGTTGAAACAGTCTAGGCTTATTTGCCCTACAGAATTCACCACAGTCTGGATTTGGCTGAGTGCAGCCTCGCGGTGTTCTTCACCAGTTCCCCCGTCCCTGGTGTTTCCCATAAACTCCTTGATCAGCTTCCAGCTCACTGTTTTGGGCAGGAATGTGCCACAGGTGGACTTGGATGCTTCCTGTCAGGAACTTCAGGAGGCACATCATGTCTGTTTGTGTCTAAGTTCTTCAGATTTCTCAGTGGCTTCAGGCATCAGCCTGATCCAGTCATTGGACAATTCCCCTGGTGATGTAGCTGCCATTGCCGATCACTGCACGGAAACATCCCTTCCTTAGGGTTACAGGACTCTGATGATACTCTTGTTTTTATCATGCCTGCATTTAGTAACTGGAGTTTGCTGATTAAGCAAAAAACTCAGGTTTCCCTCATTAACTATTCAGTTTCGCTGAGGACAATTTAGGCAAAAAAATCAGCATGTATGCTTCTTTCCCTTCAAGTTTTCAGAATATGGAGTACTTTTTAAGGTTTCATCCCCACCACAATCCAGAGTAAGCTGATTTTACAGGTGAGGAGACAGGTGAAGAGAAAGCTCAGTCCTGCAGTGAGGACTGGAGCTGGCGTGCCAAGCTGGGTCTTAATTAAGCCAGTGATTGTTCAAAAAAGGCCCAAGTGTCTTCTCTGACTGCCTTGTGACTTGACAGCTGTGGGAACTATGGAAGCAGTTGGTAAACCATGAAGGCAGGGCTTGCCATTTCTATCTGTTGGCACCGGGTCTTCTGAGAGGCTGCCGCAATTTCACCCCGTGTGTCTTGACTTCCCAACAAAACGGGAACTCCTGTGGGCAGGGCCACTCTGCGTTTGATCAGCAGCCCCTCCCTTCACCCGGTACAGCAATGGACCAGGACCGCCCTCCACTTTCTTTTCCTGTTCTCCCTTTGTGAGTCATGTCCCCTACCAGCTTTAACTGTTCCTGGCTCTACAGCCTGACCACTGCCATTTCCGGCCCTGGCAGACTTTGAGTGCCGACTCTGAGTACCTATTCAGGTCTATTATTAGGTCAGCCTTAACATGCACCCCAGACTCTACTGGCAAAAGCCACGCTCGTCCCCACTGCTCAAACCTGCCCTTTCTCTCCCAAACCCCATCATCTCAGTTCCCAGCATCACTGGTTCCTCAGATTTCCCAGCTAGAACTCAGCCACTTTGGACTACCATCTACACCCCCCAGCATGCATGGACTGAAGCAGCTGCTGAGATGAAACTCGGGATGCAAGACGTTTATTGAGGATCAAAGGGAGGAAAGTTGCGAAAGGAAGATGGATTGGGCATTTGTGACAGAGGCCCAACCAGGCACAGGCTGACAGAGAGCGTGGAGCTCCAGGGCTCATAGTGCCCACTGGAATAGTCTCACGGAGGGCTGAAGGCCCACCCTCTGCCCCTCCAGGCCCCTCAGCCCTCCTGCCCCTCCAGCTCATCTCTCCTCCTCTGTCATTGCTGATGGTGTTCCAGCCACACCATTTCCCAGATACAGCTCCACGCCTCAACGCCATTGCACTTTTTGCTTGCAATGTGCTTGCCCACTTCTGTCTTCTCTGTGAGCCTCTCACCTTCCTCCCCCTTACCTTCTCCAAGGCAGAATAAATTCCATAGTTCTCTGCATATTCCCATCATAGCACCAACTGCATTATACTCCATTATTGGTGTCCCAGCCCCTATGCCGCCCAGACCACCAGCTTCCATGGGCAGGACCTGTGGGCGACTCAGCAGTGCTCCCCGGCTCCCAGCAGACTGCCTGGCACGGAGCCGGTTAGTATTGACTGCTGATCGAGAGTCGTAACAGCTGTGGTTACACAGAACCAATCCACAACAGCTTGTCGGGTTTGAAATTTTGCCCTAGATCTCCCAAACAAAAGAAACCAGTATTGAATTTGAGAGCTATTTCAACATTATTTTATTTAAGAACTTGTTATTTTTGTCTCGAAAAATACAAAATTCATCGTGCAAAATTCATCCAGATAAATGTCCTAAGTCCCATATGGTACAAAATACCTTTCCCAACTGGAAGATGGAAGAACAGCGTTTCCTACGTCGACACGGCGCGTGCACAGGAGTGGGTTCCACAGGGCCCAGAGGCCATGTGTTATGCGGGGTTTGGGGGGCATTCTGAGGCCAACGGTGAACTGTAGGCCTCAGGCAAGACACATCTCTCAGACCATAAGTTACTGCCTGTAAAATGGGCTTGTTTCAAAGCCTCTCTTTTCAAAAGTTTTAGTTTGTGTGTGTTTTATTAATAGACTTTATTTTTTTTAAGAGCTAAAACAATAGCAGATAATACAGAGTTCCCGTATACCCCTCGCCGGGGTACAGTTTCCCCTGTGTTAACTTGCATTCGTGTTAGTACATGTTCGCAGGCTTATCTGTAGGATAAATTCCCAGACCGGATTGCTGGGTCAGGGGGTAGGTGTGTCTGTAATTTTGTAAGTAATGAACACCACGTTGCCTTGTAGAGGATTGCACCCTTGTGAACGCCCACAGCCACGCCTGACAGCTGAAACCCCTTTGAGCTCTAACAGTTTTTGTTCTTCCTGCTTCCCAGGACTCAGGCCCAATGCGTAACTTTGTGGGGAGTTTTTGCTAGAAGTGGGCTCCCCTGCCAGCCACAGCCAGCTGCACCACATGCAAGTGAGCTCGAGTTAGAGAGAGCTTGTAGGCAGGACTTCCAGGTTTCCAGCGCAGACACCCTCTATGTGCTGTGAAACCGTACAGCTTCCAAAGCCACATTTCCCTGGAACCACACGCTCAGATTGGTGTGGCTGACCTGCACAGGACCTGTGCTTGCCTGTCACCTAAAGTGAACCGCCAGACCAGCCTGTGCCATCCCATATGGCTGACACTTGCACGGGTGCCTATTTAAATTTTAAATAATTAAAATTAAATAAAATTTAAAACTCAGTTCCTCAGTCCCACTTGCCACATTTCAAGGGCTCGATAGCCTCAGATAGCTAGCTCATCAGTGGCAAGTCCCAGGGGGTCCAACCTGCAGCTCTTGGACCACATACCGCTCAGAATGCCTGTGAATGTGGCCCAACACAAAAGCATAAATTTACCTAAAACATTATGAGATTTTTTTTTTGTGATTGCATGTCACAATGTGGCCCAAGATAGCTCTTCTTCTTCCAGGGTGGCACAGAGATACCCGAAGGTCAGACCCCCCGCGAGTGCACAGCATTGGTCTGGAACACGCCCATCACCGAGGAACGCTGTGTTGGATAGAGCCACTCCAGAGCGTTCAGGGCCTCGTGTTCAGGGGGGGCTGGAAAAGGGAGAATGAGGACTAAATGCTGGGTGTGATCCTGGACAGGGTCCTGGTCCAGAAAAAGGACATGAGTGGCTCAACTGGCCACGCTTGAATAAGGTCTGAAGAGAAGCTGACAGTATCATGTGTGTTCCCTTCCTGGTTTTGGAAATTATGATCTGGTTACGTAACGAGTTAATGCTCAGGGAAGCTGCACTGTGAAGGGTGTTTGGACGTTCTTCATATTATTTCTGCAACATTTTTGTAAGTCGGAAATGATTTCCAAAAACAGTTGTAAAACTTTAAAAACATCTTAGAACCAGAGGGAAAAAATGAGATTGTGTGCCTCTTGGAACTGTCCTAGTGTACAGACAGACTTGGGGACAGACGCAACTGTGGAGGAAGCAGGGCATTCCTAAAGGCCAGGGAAGGGGTCGAGGGAGGTCCATTTCGTAAGTGATGGATGGAGCCCTTCGCCAGCCCGGGGAGACAGCAATGCTGGGTTTGACGCCTGACCTCGCCACCTGATTAGTTGGCTGTGTAGCCTGAGCCCCTGTCCTCTCTGAAAAGACATCCCTTGCACCTGGTGAGGCTCTGAGATGATGGAGGTGAAAGTGAGCTGAGAGGTGTAAAGGACCATACCTGCGAGAATGGATCGCCAGCAAAACCTGAGACAGGCCCTGCCTGACTATGTGGTTCAGTGAAAGCAGTTGGAGGTTTGTTAACTTGTCAGCAGTGGTTTTCTTTTGAAGCCCTTAAATGGTGCTTGTCTTCTGTTCAGTGGCCCCTACTCTGAGGTCCCAGGCTCCTGAAAATCCAGCCCCTCGGGTCACATGGCTGCACACTTCCTGGGGGTGATTGGGTCAGCGTTTGCTTCCTTCCTGATGTTTTCTGCAAAAGACAAGACTCCTATTGCCTCCTGTTGCCCAAGCTCTGCCTCCCAGGGCTGTTTTTAGGGCTTAATTGGCTGCCAGAATTTGTGTTAAAAGAAGCAGCCACAATACTATTTAACATCTTGGAAAAAGAAAAGTTATGCCCAATTCCTCCACTCTGCAGTGACTGCTTTTCTATCTTGCCCGTGGCAGCTGTGAAATAGCCAGCGTGCCGGCTTTCCTTTTCCCCTCCATTAACTTGCCGTCCATGTTTTTCCTCGTTGCCACACAATTAATGTAGCCTTCATCACCATTGGTGACTGCCTGATACCCATCCTGCGGCTGTCCCATGAACACTATGCCAACAGACATTATGGTGGTTAAGGCTTTGTCGTCCTGAGCGGACCCTGTTTTTCATGAGGGATTAGTACTAGAACCTTTCGTCCCTCTTGCCTGCTGGTTCCGTGGGGTACCTTGCATACAAACCAGGCTTTGGGGATTGACAATTGTTTTCCTTCTTTCTTTTCTTTCACTTATGAGATTCATTTATTTCACTTTTTGTTTGATAGCTAGAATTCAAAAGTTGTGATGGCCTTGAACATTTTGAGATCTGACTGGTTCAACTCATACTGAGCCAGTTCTGGTCCACGTGTCTTAATGTTTGTGAAAAAGAACTTTGCAGGCTTTTCAGCTTTATTCCAAACTGAAAAAAAAATCAAAGTATAGAGGCCAGAAGAGGAAAAGATGGTAGTATCATTGGCTTTGGGCCTATGAATACCATAGGGGTCACCTGGGCCAAGACCCTCTTTGCCTAGACAGGGAAACCAGGACTGGGAGGCACAGTGATTTGTCCAAGGCTCTGCCTGAGTTCCAGAAAGAGGCAGGGCTGGGTCCAGGAGTCTGGGAAGCTCAGAGCCAGCGCCCTGGCCCTGTGGTGTGCATAACCCTTGGAAGGAACTGCTGCATTCCAGTGGGGGCGGGGCCATGCAGCCTGGACCCTGGGGCCCAGCTATGCCCTGAGCAGGAGCTGGGCAGAGGGTGCTCTTACCAGCCAGGTCCCTCCTGCCAATGGCCACAAGGCCCTCGAAGAGCGCTTTGCTGGGGTTCTCACCCACCGTGGCCACGCCATGCAGCCAGATGAGCAGCATCCGATGGCCATGCTCCTGGTAGCTCTTGGTGCCTGAGGACCATGAAGGAGAAGAAAGGGAAAGGGAGAAAGAGCCAGCCTCACCCACTTAGCATGAGCCAGGTCTCAGCACATGTCTACACTGCCCTGTACTGCCTCCTGAACACCAGGCCCTATGAGCTATAGCAGAGTTCAGCCCAGAGCTGGGGACGGAGGTTGGGGGGATGGTCAGAGAAGCCTCAGACGGGGTGGAGGTGGAGGTTTTGTGCTGAGGACCCTTGAACCTCCCCACACCCAGGCTTTCTCCTGAGCACCTGCTACGAATGCTGTTGGTGTCACTTTTAAGAAAGAAATGATTGGCTCTCACTGTGGCACCGTGATGCTCATAACAGCATGCTTCATCTTTGGCTGCTCAGGACAATCTGCCTCGCGTGCTAGTGGCCCTGTTCTACAGACGAGAAGACTGCCCAGTCAGGGACAGAGCTGCCCATGTTCTTTCCCAAAAGTGCCCATCAGGAACACCTGGCAAACTTTAAAAACTGCTGACACCTGGGTCTTTCCCCCACCATCCCCAGAGATTCTGAAAAACTTGGGTCTGGGCGTAGCCGAGGCACTGACTGGGTGTTAATGCTTCCCAGGTGATGCCAACGCACAACCATGTTTGGAAAATAAGTGTTCACACTCTTCAGTGCTGCTGTGGTGTTAACTTGTTATTAAACTCTGTAACTAGGTCTGCTCTCCCAGCTGGGGACACCCACATTCGAGCACAGCAATGGCGGGCACAGTCATGGGGTCTAGGTCCGTCTTTTCACTGTCCTCTGACCTTCTGGCCCTCTGGGTGCCCTCAGCATGCACTTCTTCACGGTGCTGCCCTTGGCATGGCAGTCTCGTTTGACTATTTATTCACTAGCCTTTGCCCTCTGTGTTCATTTATCATCTGTGGAAGTTCTTATCTGTAATAGAGCTTACTTTCAGATGCCTGGCTCTATTCCACTAATTGGTTTGCATATTTTTGTATCAGGGTTCTTTCTATATTAACTATTGGGTTGGCCAAAAAGTCTTTTTCTATTCAATGGCTCTAGCAGCACTTAGTTGTCTTAGCTTCATTTTGAAACAATTCTGTTAAACTGTATTGTGACAGCTGTCATATTAGCACACATTAAAAAAAGCTTATCAGCCCTGGCTGGTGTAGCTCAGTGGATTGAGCGCAGGCCTGTGAACCAAAGTACGGCTGGTTTGATTCCCAGTCAGGGCACACGCTTGGGTTGCAGGCCAGGTCCCCAGTATGGAGTGTGCTAGAGGCAACCACACATTGCTGTTTCACTCTCTCGCTCTCTCCCTCCCTTCCCCAGCTCTCTAAAATAAATAAATAAAAAAATTTTAAAAAGCTTATCAGAATTGGTGAATTTTGGTGCAGCCACTTTAATATTAAAGATGGAAGAAAATCCACAACATTTTCAGCATGTTACGCTTTAATATTGCAGGAAAGGTAAAAATGCAACTGAAACGCAAAAAAAGAGATTAGTCCAGCATATGGAGAAGGTGCTATGATTGATCAAATGTGTCAAAAGTCATTTGTGAAGTTTTTTGTTACTATTGACATTTTGGCCAAATAATTCTTTGCTGTTGCACTGTCTTATGCATTGGAAGATGTTTAGCAGCACCCCTGACCTCTACTTACTAGAGGCCAATAGCTGGAGATGGCCAGCTTACTCAGAATATCCAAATCAATAAAGTTATTGGTGAAAATGAAAAATGTGTCTTTTATTTTTCAAAAAAAAAACTGTAATGGACTTTTTGGGCAACCCTATATTTTAGCTTTATAAACACTTAAGTCTGGTCGGGTTAGACTCTCTTCACTTTTTTCCCCCAAAATATTCAGTATTATATTCTTTCATGTAAACTGCATAATCTTTCAGTCAAGTTTCAAAAACCTCCTATATTCATTTGATTAAAACTGGATCACAGTTTTAATGTAATTTGGGAAAAATCAATCTCTACTTGACACTTTCTAGCTCGGAATACAAAATGTCCTTCCACTTACCGAAGTCTTCTTTCATGGTTTAATTAATTTTTATTTTTTTTACTCATATGTCAGTTATATCTCTTTCTACAAATACACGCTAATGAAAATGTAATCTCTTTAAAAAATACCTCTATATGTTTTGCCCACTTGTTAATGGTACATAGGAATACTATAGTGTTTGTGTATTTTATCAAATATTTAGCCATTTCATTGAGTTATTTTATTTTAAGAGTTTTTCAGCTGCTTCTTCTGGACTTCCTGTGTAGATAATTACAGCATCTGAAATTAATAAATCTCTCTCTTCCTTTCCAATATTTGCTCTCATTTCTAATTCTGTTTCATGCCTTAGTACCAAGGCCAAAATTTCCAAATCGATATTAAGTAATAGTAGCAATGGAAGCCCCCCTTTTTACAGGGAGTGCCTTTAGTTTCCTGTATGAATGAGAGTGATCAGCTCTGGCTGATTCATGAAGAAGGTGAAGTTCACAGTTCAGCGGGGAGGGAAAGGCAGAAGGCACAGCCTGTGCAAAGGCCTGGAGGAGTGAAAAAACATGCAGTGGCCTGGAAACAGCATGTGGCTTCATGTGGCTGGACTGTGGGTTGCACAGAAGCACAGAAAACTGAACACGCCCCAAGCACCCCTACCCCTCCACCTGCTGGCTGCTCTGAGCTGCCGAGGCAAGGCAGTACCTGTCCACTGTTGCTCGATGGCGTGGACGTGGGCCTCAGTGAACTCCCAGCAATATGCGAGCTTCTTCCACTCCTGCGGCCGCAGGTACCTGGAGGCCAGTCGCCACAGCACAGAGCGAAGCTGCTGCGTTTCCTGCCGATGGTCCTGCTTAAAGGTCAGACTCTTCCCAGAGGGATCACTGGGGTCCCTGAGTGAGAGGTGGTCCTGCAGGGCAGATCCCAAAAGTAGCAATCTTGGGGAAACCTCTGCCAGGCTCTCCCCAATGATCCTGGACTGGGTGTCATTACCAGCCCGGGGCTTAGTGTCTGCTACTCTGGTTTCTGCCTCAATGCCTTGCCTTGACCTCTGGACTCCAAGCTGCTCACGCTGTTCTTCCATTCGGAATTCCTTTCCTCACCTCTCTGTCCCCCAACTCCACTGCCACAGTCAAAAGACCCCCCAAATGCCACCTCTTTCAGGAAGGCTTCCCAATTCTTCTCTTTTCCCTGTGTTTTTATGTAGCCCGGGTGTCAGTAGAGTGACTCAGCAGTTGTAGCTAAAACCAAGCAAGCCAAGAACCAGGCACTGGACTTGCCAAATCCCAACAACTACTAAAGGGTAGGACTATGGAATTTCTTTTCTGCAAAGCAGGTGATAAAATGAGAGTTACAAAGGAATTATGTTATGACATCAACCGTGCCCACAAAAGCCCCAGGAAGCCCCTCTATAGAAAGTGGATGCAGCATTCTGGTTGTTAAAAAGCTCACGGTGAGAAAAATCACCCCGGTGTCTGCCTGTTACTGCTCAGGTATCTGGCCAGTCACCTGTGAGGTGATGACTCACACGTGAGCTTGACTCTCACTTGGGGAGGTAAAGACCAGTTCCTAAGAGCTGTGTGCTCGGCTGCATCTGTGCATTGGACTCGGCCAGGAGCTTTAAGAACCACTGAAGCTTGATCGCCAGGCCAGAGATTCTTGAATTGGCCTGAGAGTAGGGAGGGGGAGTTTGTGATTCTAACTGCACCTCTGTCCTAGTTGAGAACCTTTAAAGAGCGAGGTGGTTTAGAATTAAGCACAGGAATGCATCATTTCACCAAACCTTTGGTATGAATATCTTGGTGTTACATTAAGGGGTCATCTATTGTAAAGAGGTTGTAATGTGTATGAGAATCTTGCATGTCAGTGAAAGAGAATATCCCATGATGCCTATCGAAATTGGTTATCCACCAACTGATTTTAGGAGATTTTTTTATTTTAGAAGTGTTAGAGAAGTTCACTAAATTTACAAACAATATTGGAATGTTTAGGATGTTCGAAATTCACTTTATTTATAGGTTTAATTAACCACATTTACCAGAATAATTTTAAAATTTAGGACGCATGTGAAGTACTTAAAAAAGAAAATCTATTAAATTTATTCATTCAGTTTAAAATGTTTATGGCAGTTTAATTAACTAAATTTACACATGGGACCAATTTAATCAAAAGCCTTCTTTTAACATGACCACTTCTTTTAATTTACTAGGTTGTATAAATAGAATAATAAGACTTATAAAATTAATTTAAAAGTTTAAGAAAAGTTAGCTTTTAAATTTGTAATAAATTTAAAAATTTTTAAATTAGTATTAATTTTTAAAACTGAAGTAAATGTAAAAAAATTTTTTCTGTGTATAAAAACAACCCTCAAAGACCCCCAAAACTCCCTACCCCGCCCGAATTTGCTCACCGCTAGAACAGCAAACACACGGCCTTACACCAGCCACTTTTCCCTCCCAGTTCCAAGGCAGAGTCACTAATCACTCCCAGCACACTTCCCTTCTGGGCCCTGAAAGTCCCCGGAATACAACGCTCCCAGCAGTAATTCCACTGGTGAGGGCAGTGAACTGGTACCAGCTGGCCATCTCTTTTTCTCCACATATGCCTGTAGTCATGCATCAACCAGGGGTAATAGCAGTGTCCACAGATCTCTCCACACAGGGGTGGACCTCAGTCAGGCTTGTTTTGGTGTGGTTTGGATGCCCCCCCTTCTCCAGACCCTTCCTAGCAACCCCCGTGGAACCCAAGGAGCCCCTGAGCCGGTCAAAGCCAACTCCACCTGGAGCCAAGGTTGCTGCCTTTTTTACAAGACCAAGCACAAGGAGGGTCTCAGTACCTTCTCCCACTTGTAGAGGCGGTCGGCTTTTATGATCATGTCCACCAGGACGACGTGGTTGCTGCGGGCGGCCACCGCCAGAGCGGTTTTCCCCTGCTGCAAGTGAGAAGCAGGAAGGGAAGCTGGAATTTCCACCAGAGAGGTGTAAAGGAGCCTCTAGCAGCAACTACCGACACGGCTGCCCAGAGAAAGCAATTTCCAGTCATCTACACCAGAGTAGAAAGGCTTTCTGGTCTTGATGAGGGAGGTGGAAAAGTCACAGGTAGAATAAGGCAATAATAGTAATTCCAGCCCTGGCTGGTGTGGCTCAGTGGATTGAGTGCTGGCCTGTGAACCAAAGGGTCACAGGTTCAATTCCCAAATTAGGGTTGCGAGCCAAGTCTCCAGTAGGGGGCGAGTGAGAGGCAGCCACACATTGATGTTTCCCTCTTTCTCCCTTTCCCTCTAAAAATAAATAAAATCTTTAAAAAAAAAGTAATTCCAGCCACCACCTCCTGTGTTCTTTAGAATTCGTGAAGCCTTACTGTTTATGAAACAGCCTGCATGACTCTTCAACATCACCTGTGAAACAGGTGTTCCCAGCCCCATTTCTCAGATGAAACCAGAGCTCAGAGACTAGGCTTGGGTTCATGGTGCTGCGTCTGCCCACCTCTCCCCAGGCTCCCAGCCCTTTCATCCAGACCTTCTGCTCAGTGCTGACTCAACCAATCCCAGGGATCTCTGTGAAGATGGGAGGCTCCGCCGCCAAGGTTGGGCCAGCTGCCCTGGGGCCCGGCTCAAAGCAGGGAGCCCCTCCCAGCTCCAGCCTCAGAGCCTGCTCCTGCCCCTGACCCTCCCCACACCACCCCAAGGGCTGGCCAAGCTGGGCCACATCTGCAAACACCCTTCCCCTCACAAGCCTCATACTAAACCTTCACTCTTCTCAGACCTCCAGCCAGAGGTCATCATGCCGGAGGCACCGCGTGCTGGGCAGCTTTCCCCTCCCCAAATGACCCAGGTGCTCCAAGTCTGATGGAGCCATGAAACAGAAGACACCCATATCAGAGCCCTAGACCAGGAAAGGCGGGGCCAAGTGCTGAGGGCACTCAGAGGAGGCAGGGGAAAGCGGTAGAGGAGTAGGAAGGCTTCCTGGAGGAGGCTGCGTACGAGGCGGTACACAATATAGGGGGGGCCTTGAACACTCTGAGATCAGGCAGCACTGGCAGCAGGGTCTCTGGCAAGGAGGGGGCCGTGAAAGCTTAACAGGGCGTCTGGTCGTGAGCAGAGGTACCTTATCTCTCAGGTTTAAGTTGACCCCCGCAACCAGGAGCATCTCTGCTATGTCCTGCCAGGCGTGCTCCGCGGCGAGGTGGAGGGGCGTCTGCTGCCTCTGGGAAAGAAGCCAAGGGGACAGGGAGACAGAAGAGCGTGTAGAAGCAGCCTGCGGCTTCACGCCAGGACAGGAGCAAAGTGCCTGCACTCCCAGCGGGGCCCTAACAAAGCTTCTCCAAGACGTCACGAGGGAGGGTGGACTGGGTCTAATTCTAAACAGGAAAGTTGGTAAAAAAATAAAAAAGGACAAAGAAACACTACTCACTAGCCCACCTAAGTCAAACTCTGTAACAACATTTCTTCTAGTCTTTTTTTTTAATGCAGAATGTTCTTTGTTAGTTCTGGTTTTACATATTTGTACATATATATACCTTTTACACCTATTTTTCTACCTAACATAACACTTTATACACATCGTAAATGTTGATTAACAACATTTTTAATAGCCCCATGATAGTCTATGTCAGTACTGTAACTTACCTAACCATTTCTCTATTATTAAGCAGTGGGGCCATTTTCAAACTGAAGACTGATGACCAATGCCGCAGTGAATATCTAGGGGCATGAGCTTACTGTATTTCTTGAAGCTCAATTCTCGGACGTGAGAAAACCGGCTGTTTTAACAGTACACACTATCTCCTGCCAAACCACTTCCCGCTGAGGGAGGCTGCTGCGCAGGCACCGAGGACCACAGGGTTAGGAGGTGGGTTGTGGGGACGAGGGTTTCTCTGGTTATTGCACAAGACTGCCCCAGGCACCCCTGCCCTGGAATTCCCCACAAGGGGGGAAAACCAATGAAAGGAAAAGGTTGAAGAGAGGAAGGTGTTGACTGCAGTGTTATATGTTTCCTGGCAAAAACTAGGAAATAGTCAGAATGTTCAAAACAGGGGAATGGTGAATAAAGATGACGCTACCAGCCCTGGCTGGTGTAGCTCAGCGGATTGAGTGTGGGCCTTCGAACTAAAGGATCTAGGTTCAATTCCCAGTCAGGGCACGTGCCTGGGTTGCAGGCCAGTTCCCAGCAGGGGACACATGAGAGGCAACAATACATTGATATCTTTCCCTCTATTCTTCCTTTCCCCTCTAAAGATAAATAAATAAAAATCTTTAAAAAATAGATGACACTACCTTCAACAAATATTCAAACAGCTTTTTACAACCTACAGAAGCAATTCCTCAGCTCTGGGTCATGCTGGTAGATGGCCGCCAGCCCCAGCGGGTGCCCAGAGGCTCCATGGGGACCAGGCGGTTTCTGCCGCCACTTACATTGTCGGTGGCATCCAAGTCACTGCCGGCATCGATGAGGAGCTGAACCAGGGCAGGGAAGTTGTGCCTCACGGCAAGGTGCATTGGCGAGGCTCCCTGCTGCGGGGTGGGGGAGACAGGGATCAATGGCTGGGTCCCTCCCTGCCACAGGAGGGTGCTGGGCATTAACAGTGCTTCTAGGTTTGGTGGGTGTCCTGAGGCATTTACAGCCCCAAAGCCTGAATCCCTGGGGTCCAAACACTGAACCTCAAGGTGGGTGGGGATCTGAAGACCCAAGTTTGAGACTTTTCTATGCCAGGAACTCACTGTGTGACTTTGGGCAAGTCATTTCCCTTCTCTGCTACACTCCACCTGGCAAGTGCTAAGGTCCCTTCTAGCAACAACACCTTAATGTTCTCTGATATTTTATTTAACCCACACACGAACCTAGAAAGCATATAGAGATGGTATTCTTATTAGTACTTTTACCTTACACACGGAAACACTGAGCTTCAGAAAACTTATGCAGCTTGCCAAAGGACACAGCTAATAGAGACCTTGTGCTATTGAACTTCCTGCCCACAGCACCTGGGTAGATGCCTGATACCTATTTATATATGAAAGAAATGAAAGAGAGAGCCAGCCGTGATCTCACTCCAAGGCTGGAAGACTCCCTCTGCTATGGTCCCCTGTGACCGCTGACTGCATGACAAAAGGGAGAGTCTGCCACAGTGTCCCCTTTTCTAGGTGATACCATGACACACTTACGGTGCAACAGTACAAAGCCAGTAAAATTGGTAGTATAGATCTATACTGCTGTGGAAAAACACCATCACACAGCGAGTACAGAAAGGTTACAAAACAGGACACATACACACACCCACAGCAAGAATGCCCACTATTGCCATTACTAGCTTAAGACAGGGAAGAAAGGTTTATAAATATTGGAAAAGAAGATTTTAATTATACCATTATCTGTAGGCAGTGTGGTTGTTTTAACATAGACTAGTTAAAATAGTTAAAATCCACTTCCATAAAAAAGCTCCAGCAGAATTAATTTTAAAAATCATATAGCAGATAAAAACACCTACGTAATCGTAATAAATGCAGCCTTCTAGGGGTGGTGGGGGTAAGAAGGGAGGCTCTGAATACGTGGGGGCAGGGCACACATGCGAGATCTCTACCTTCTGCTCAGTTTTGCTATGAACCTGAAACTGCTCTGGAAGTAAAGTCTATTTAAAAAAATCCCGACGAGGCGGCTGGATCAGGGCCAACGGAAAGGGTCAGAGCTGAAACAGTTTGAGCAACAAAAGTAAGTAATACTGGATTGTAATGCAGAGTATGGAATAAATATAAGTCCATGCCGATGTAAGTAAATGATCGATTGAATAAATAAGTAAACGGAGGTGAATAAACAAATCCCGCACTCGGAAGAATCCCAAATAATTTATGTAGCTCTGTTGCCCTCAAGGGGGTGGAGCATAAAACTCCCCATTCCTTCCATGTGGACTTCCCGTGGCGACTTCCTTTCAAAAACCGCAGTGTGGGACGGGGACAAAGAGAAACCTCGTAACAGAGACACCCGACAAACACTCCCTCAGCCGGCGATCAGGGCCGGCAGCAGCAGTGACGCCCGCATCGACAGCACCTGCCCTCGCCTGTTGTGACGCACAGGAGTCCTCGCCTCGGTGCTCTTCCTCTTAAAAACCCGTCACCTCGTGTAATCACGAGGAAGGAGAGCATCAGACAGGCCCCGGTTGGCAGGCAGTGGACAAAATACCTAAGTGCTACTCAAAACGGTCCAGTCGGAGAGACGTGCACAGCCAAGAGGAGCCCCAGGAGACAGGACGATTGAACGGAACGTGCTGTCCTGCCTGGGGTCCCGGAACAGAAAACGACAATAAGCAGAAACTAAGGAATCTGAAAAAAGTATGATCTGCATTCATGACAACGTGTTGGCATTGGTTCATTAATTGTAACAAACACGCGGTACTAATGTCAGGTGCTACTAATAGGGGGGCTGGATGTGGGACATGAGAACTCTCTGCACTACCTCTGCAACTTCTAGGTAAAACTAAATATATTCTAATATAAAAAGTTTATTAACAACTGCAGAACTATGCTCTGGCTGCTATGGCTCAGTGGGTTGGGAATTGTCCCACAAGGTGAAATATTGCTCGTCCCCCAGTCAGGGCACAAGCCTGCATTTGGGTTTGGCCCTCCGGTTGAGGGAGGGACATTCAAGAGGCAGCCAATTGACATTTCTTGCACATCAGTGTTTTCTCCCACTCTCTGTCCCTCCCTTCCCCCGCTCTAAAAATAAATGAATAAATACAATCTTTTTTTTTTAAAAACTGAAAAACAGTGAGAACAGTATGGGAAGAAAAGGTGGGGAGACCCACACGAACACGGACGACTGATTCTGACAGAGGCAAGAAAGCAGTTCAGGGGAGGGAGGTTAGACGGCCATTTCGACAAGCAGGGCTGGAGCGGTGGGCCTTCTGCGGGCAAAATAAGTAAACAAATAGAGAAATAAGAGCTTCCTTTGACCGAAACCTCACACCTCACACAAAATGAACTCAAAATAGACTACTGACTCAAATGTAAAACTCTAAAACTTTTAGACAAAAACATAGAAGGAAAACTTCAGGATCCAAGACTACGCAGGGTTCTGAGAGTTGACACCAAAAATATGACCCAGGGAAGGGAAATATGGATGAAGTAGACCTCATCGAATTAAAAATGTTTTCCTCTGCTAAAGATCCTGTTCAGAAGAGGAAAAGACAAGCTACAGATCAAGAGAAAATATTTGCAAATCCCATAGTTTATGAAGGCTAGTTCTAGAACATATAATGAACTCCTAAAACTCTACAGTAAAGAAAAATTAGAAAACGGGCAAAGACGTGACCAGACGTCTCACTGAAGGGGACACTCACATGTCAAACAAGCACATGAGAAAATGCTCAACACCGTCAGCCATTAGGGAAGGTGCAGGTGAGGCCACAATGAGGTGGCACCACACACCCGTCAGAATGATTAAAATTGAAAAACAAAACAAAACAGCGAGAACATGTTGGCAAGGACGTGGAGAAACTGGGTCCCTCAGACATCGCTGGTGGGAATGTGCAATGGTGCAGCCTCCCTGCACACACAGTTACGGGTTGTCTGTTAAACTAAGCGTGTATTACCATAGGACCCAGTAAGTACATTCTTGGCCTTTATCCCAGAGAAGTGAGAACTCATGTTCATACAAAAACCCATACGTGGTTGTTCATGGTGGGCGTATCCACAATAGTCCAAAACTGAAAACAACATAGATGTCCTTCAGCAGGCGCCTACGAATCATTACAAAATAGAGAATAACCCAAGGGAAAAATGGTCAAAGGGTAGGAACAGACATTGGATGGAAAAGGGAAGGCAGATGACTCTTACGAGGAATGAAAATTAATACTACAGAGAGACGGAATCCTTCACTCATCAGATTGGCACAGATTCAGAGGTTTTGCCTGATGTGTTGACAAAGCCGTGGGGAGACAGGCACCACCTTATACTGCTGGCGTGAGTGTAAACTGACACAGTCAGTGGTGATACAGTCTGTGTGATACAGTCTGTGCGATACAGTGAGCAACACACACAGGAAGTGCGAGTGTACGTGCCACTTGACCCAGTACATCGACCTCCAGGCATTTATTCTGTAGATTTGCGCCCACAGACATGGGAGGTTCTATGCACAGGTTTTTGTGGCGGTATCGTTTGTAATAGGGGAAGACTAGAATCCACCTTTACAGAGGAAACAATTTAATAAATTGTGGTCCGTTCATGCAATGGAATACTATGCAGCTATAACAAAGGATGAGGGTGTGTTTTAAAATATATACTTATATGGGAAGATCTTAAAGATGTAGCTATGATAAAACAGCAAGATACACATTCTCCAATAAAAGGTACCAGGGCTTCCTGGAGAAATGGCTGATTCTAGGACTGGGACAGGAAATGACATAGGCTAAGTCTGGAGCACCTTATAGTGACAGAAAGTCACAAAGCTGACCAGGACGTGCAGTCATCCATTGCTGCCGGGAGTGTGAAATTGTACAGCCACTGTGAAAGGCAGTTTGGCAGTTTCTTACAAAACTAAACATACACTTAAGCAGTCATGTTCCTTGGTATTTATCCAAAGGAGTTCAAAATTTATGCCACATAAAAACCCACACATGGATGTTTATAGCAGCCTTATTCATAATTACCAAAACTTGGAAATGACTAAGATGTCCTTCAGCAAGTGAATGAATAAATAAAGCATGGTACATCCAGACAATGAAATATTACTCAGTACTAAAAAGAAATGAGGTGCCAAGCCATGAAAAGACATGGAGAAACTATAACTGCATATTACTTAGCAAATATTGCATGAACCCACCCAAGTGACATTCTGGAAAAGGCAAAACAATGGAGACAGCGAAAAGATCAGGGGTGGCCAGAGGTCGGGCAGTGGAAGTGGGGGACGAATAGAGCGCGGAATAATTTTAGGGCAGTGAAAACATTCTGTGTGGTAGGATAATGGTGGGTGTATGTCATCGTATATTTATCCAAACCCATAGAATGTACAACACTGAGAGTGAACCCCGGTGTAAACTATGGACTTTTTTCTTAGTTGGGAGAAAAGGTAAAACTTAATATACAATGTTGGCGCGCAGGTCAGGAAAGGCAGCCCACACTCTGCCATGGCCCTGCTTGCTGGCACAAGACTTACAGGACGTGATTCAGTGTATATAGCAGAAGCTGGAAATATGTTCACATTGACCTCAAATTCCCTCTTCTGTTTGGAGAAGTCATGTATAATGCAAAAGAAATAAAAAGTTATGCCATGAAGGTGTTCATTAAATCAATGTTTATAGTGGCTCAGTCAGAACTACCTTAAATATCGAACAGAGAAGGGTCTGTTACATATGATGTGGACACTGAGGCCCACAAGGCATGGTCAGCACCTAAAAAATGTCCACCAGGAAAACTACGCAGCCACACTGGGTGCCCGGGCTGGGTGGACTCGACTGGACTGGACTGGTATCCTGATGGGGAAAAATAAAAAGGCACCCTCCTCCCAGAATTCTGCCTTAGCCTGGACTTATTCTGTGCTACTGTGCATATGAGGAGAACCAGAGAGAGAATAAAGAAAAGTTACTGCTTTACTAGGGTGTCAGGATTAAGGACGCCTTTTTCCTCTATATTCCAATGAATTGTGGTTTTACAATAATTTTTAATGGAGTATTTATTTCAGATATACAAAATGACCTCTTTCTAATTTAAGCAACCAATACTTCCTCATTTAAGCAATGGGAATAATAACAGTACCTATAGATAGGAAACAGAGGCACAGGAGGGTCAAAGCTGCTTGCCCAAGGTCATTCGGTTTGTGAGTGGCAGAGCAGGCCTCAAAGCCAGGTCGTCTGACACCAAAGCCCACGTCTTAGCTGCAAGGTTATATTGTTGCCTATGCTATGCTGCATGTTCTGCAACATAACAGGAAAAAGGGAACAACCAAGAGACTAAATCTGTAAGAAGATCATTACTAAGATCCAATGGTTAAATGAGAGGAGAGCACGAGCAGATATTTCGCTGGGAAGGAAATGCAAGCTGCCTTCAGTCCCATTCCACTGGGATCTTATTTGACTCTCCTACGGGCTGCCAGCTGCCCCGGCCCAGACCCCAACCCCAATCAATGAGGTTACGGAAGAGTTTGCAGGAGGGACTCCGTTCCGTCCAGGCCCCCACACTTACACGATCGGGCACGTTGGTGCAGGCCCCTGAGTGGATGAGCGCCCGGACCACGTCCTCAGAGCCACTGAGGGCTGCGTAGTGGAGGCAGCTCTGCTCTTTCTAGAGGAAAACAGAAATCGGTGCACCTTCCTAAGCACCCCACAGAGGGGCTTACTGGAATTCATTACACCCCCACCCACCACCCACCCCGGGTTTATTACCCCCCTTAAACTCTGACGCTAAGTTAATCAGTGACTTGCCCAGGCCTGGTGACCGGTGACAGGGGCTCACTATGAGCTCAGCCTTTCCCTGCCTCCTGTCACAGACTGCAGAGCACAGGTCAAAGCCTGCACAGTTCCTTAGCTGGTAAAGACTCGCAGAGCATGGACTTTGAAGAGCCGGTTTTCAAAGACGGGGACAAGCAAAATTTGCCAGCACAGGGCAAAGCCCACACAGCACATGCTGCCTGGCTGGCACTGGTCAGGCTGTCTCAGCTCATCCCTGGCAGGGCCAGGCGAGGCCTTCTTCCCAGACGGGCCTTCTACGTGCCCACCTCCACTCAGAGCCCACTCCTGGCCCAACGAGGATCTCACATAAGATACATCTGCTCGCTGCCAGGCAGGCCTCACCAAGTGACCAACTGTCCCAGCTTGCCAACATGGGGGCAAACCAGGACCAGTTGTCACCCTCACAAAGTCCTGTCTGAGTGCACAGGTGGCTGGGAACCAGTCCACTTCCCCATGGGAAGTACAGTCACTCTAGGGGTGCCCCTCCTCGGGGACCCTGCTGCACGGCACTTCAAGGGGTGGGAATTTGGAGGCGGAATGTGGCCCTTGCCAGAGACCTCAAGCCAAGGCTAGAGCACAAGGCCCAGTGAAGTGGGCAGCTCCCACCCCACCAGTGACCACCGTGGGCTGGACGTGACCACCGTGGGCTGGACGCAGCCTCCCTGTCTCTAAGTTCCTGTGCTTCCTCCGCTACAGAACCTGCCCAGGACAGAGACTGTGCTGGGGGCAGAGAAAGGGCCTCGCTGCCCAAAGAGCAGTCCCAGAGGGACACAGCTGGCGACCTGAGGCAGCTACTTTCCCCTCTGGGCCTCGGTGTCCCCCAACCCCCACGCCCCACAGCTAGTGGCTCCCATAGCTTCTAAGGGAGTTCTGTAAAGTAAGTGTTTTGTGGCTCGTAAAGCATTATTCACACTTAGGGCGGTTTAATTCCAATATTATTAAATTTACATTTTCCATTTTGTTATTTATTTTCCATATGTCTCCTATCTTTTTTTTCTGTTTCTCCTTGACTGTTTTCATGTCAAATAAATATTTGTAGCCCTGGCTGGTATAGCGCAGTGGATTGAGTGCAGGCCTGCAAACCAAAGGATCGCGGTTCGATTCCCAGTCAGGGCACATGCCTGGGTTGCAGGCCAAGTGCCAACAGGGGACGCATGAGAGGCAACCATACATTGATATTTCTCTCCCTCTCTCCTTCCCTTCCCCTCTAAAGATAAACAAACAAAGTGTTTAAAATAATAATAATACCTATTAAAAATATTTGTAGCCTACCCTTTTAATTCCTCTGCTTTTTAACTTTTTTGCTATTATTTATTTTTGCTTTATTATTAAAATTTGGAACAAATAAAGAATTTCAGACCCTGGAGCATTTAACCAGCCAAAAAGTCTATTTGTCAGTGATCTAAAAATAAATAAATAAATAAAACCTCAACAACACCAACTCTCAAAGTAAAGGCCACGGCCCTCCTTTTAGGACGCAGGGAACGTTTCTGAGGGCGGCTGACTTAGGGAGCGCAGTAATGAGGAAGAGCAGGGGCCTGCCCCAGAGTCACACCCGGCCTCCTGTTGAGGACGCCCAGTGGGTGGGCCACAGCCTCCTCTCAGACTCGGCTTTGCTTCTGCCCAGCTTGTGACCTGGGAGAGTCACTGACCCTCTGTAAGCTGCCTCTTCCTCACCTGCAAAACAGTGGACGCTTTTAAGGCGCTCGGTGAACTGTCCAGTGCCTGCAAATAGAGAACTGCAACAGGGAGCCGCAAACAGGTGTTGAGCTCCTATTATGTCCCTGACACTGTGCCCCTGACCCTTAGGTTTAATCCTCACACCAGTGTAAACAAGTGTATATCATCCCATTTTATAGTTGGAAAAAGAGGCTCAGAGTGGTTAAGTCACTTGCCCAGATCACAATAGCTCAGCAGTGGCAAGGCCAAGACCAGAACCTGGGCCTACTGCCACATGGCCTCTGTGCACACGATGTTCAGAAATCACTGTGGCTGTCACTGTTGACACGGTCACAGCTCAGCAGCCCAGGGCAGACGTGGGTCGTGGGGAGGCCCGGCTACCTGGGTGAGGGCATTCACGCTGCTCCCGGCCCCCAGGAGCAGCTGCACACAGTCAGGGTGGACTCCTTCAACGGCCACGTGCAGGGCGGTCAGACCTTCCTGGAAGACACAGGAGCGGTATGAGGACGGCAGGAGGCTGAGGCCAGACCCTGGGACGCCCTCACGCCAGGCTCCAGGGCCCTTTGAGCCCTGCTCTGTCCAGCTACTGGGGACAGTGACCGGGTTATCTGCGGTTCCCTGAGTCCCACACCTTTGAGGGGCACGTGGTACATTCACGCCCTCCTCCGCCCCTGCTCCCATTCTGCTCACCCTCTAAGCCGCCTCACACTGCTCTGTCCGTCCCCTCCTACTCCAGGAAGCCATCCCTGACCATCCTGGCCATGGCAACCTGCCTTCTTTGAGCACACACGCTGTGCGTACTACTTGGTCATCCCCCATGCTGGCCGGTGCCCCAAGCCTGGAGTTTCACACCACTGCTTAGCTTTTCCTGGTGGGCTGTTAGTTCAAGAACATACAGGGTCCAACAGAAGAAAGGCTTGCTTGAGGGTGGTTGGTAGGGTACGTGAATGTCCCACAAGAGACGGACAGCAATTTGAACATTTCACCTAAAATGCCATATGGTGTGCTCGAGTGTGATACTGTTATGTTACAGAATTACATGCTTATGGTTTTCAATAAAAGATTTTGCAACTAAAAAGGGCATTATTTGTGCCACACCCCTGCTTCTGTCCTCAGCTCCTGGTTTTGACCTCTACCAGGGAAAACCAGGCTGAACCACGGGCAGTGGGTTCCTTGAAAGTGGGGAGTGAACGTCACCCATCTCCGAGTCATCCAGGTGGCAACTCACCACATTCCTCTCCTCCAAGTCCAGCCCGATGTCCACAAGTCGCTGCAGCACAGACAGGTGGCCCCTGCCAGCGGCCAGGTGAAGGGCCGTGTTCCCCTCCTACAAGTAGGAGCCAGTAGCGTCACAGAGCTTCCCAGGCTCTGGGGCTGCTGGAGCCACCCCTTATTTTATAGGTGTGGAAACTGAGGTCCAGAGAGGGGAAGCGACATCTCCAGGTCTCTGAGCAAGGCCATGACAAGCTGCAGCCCTGAGGACTGGGCCCAAAACTATGCCCAATGGCACTTTCAAGGGCCAAGTGCCAGTCTCTCTTCCCTTGCACTTCAAGGCAGACCCATTACTTTTTTAAAAATCTCTACTTTCCATGCTTCTGTCTAAAGCTGATCCCTCACCAGCGACCCAAATCACCAACCTCTCCCTCTGCTCAAGGCTGTGACTCCGGACTCTCCCCGGCAGCCACAATGCCCAGTCACTCACCTCCTGGTCTTTGCTCAAGACACCCTTAGCTTCTTGTTGAATAATGGGCCCACCCTGGCCACAGTTTATAACGGGAATTTGCACCTCTCCTCCTGATCCCCCATCCCGCTCGACTTTTCCTTTTCTCCACCGCTTTCTGATGCCTTTAGCACTCATGTGTACGCTATGCTTATTGTTTATCGTCTGACTCTCTTGTTAGAACATAAGCACCACATGGTGGGGATTTCTATTTTGTTCTCTGAACTTTCCCCAATGCCTAGAATAGGACCTGGGACACATGGCAGACACTCAACAGGTATTTGTTCAATGAGTAATAATGTGACAAGAGCTTGACGTGTGTCTCCTGGAACTTGAGAGCCAAAAGACTGGTAGTTGCCTCACACTTGACAAGTCCAAAGGTGACAGTGACAGAGCTGAGAGGTGGCTCCGTGGGGTCAGGGGAAGGCACAGTGCTCTCTGTATTAGAGGTGCCCCCCAAGGGCAGCCCACTTGGGGTTAAAAGGATCTTACTGTGGAAGGGCCCAGCAGAGGAGGTCCACCGGCAGAGCCCAGAGATAAGACAGGCCCCTAAAGAGGAACCACAGATGGGGGCCAGGGCAAGGAACCCTGAGGAACCCACAGGAGCGTCCAGAAGGGAGGATGCAGCTTTGGTCATTCTCTACACCCCGGAGGCCCTTGGGACGCATCCAGCTGAACCAGTCATGGGGACTTCCTAGCTCAAGCTCCTCCCCACTCTGGCCTGTCTGCGTGCCTTCAGGAGGAGGGGCTGTTCACAGCTGGGCACAGATCTTTAAAGGGCCAGTTGAGGATGCGAACATACACCACAGCCCAAGCAGCACTGAAAAGAGTTCAAAACCTATCCCCCTTCCCCCGTGATAGATTCACACACACACAGAACAGCTATAAATTCTTATTGGGATCACAGATGAAACAATGTTTCCTTTATTGTGGGGGCAACTTTGCCCTCAAGTCCCCCTTTGCACCACAGACGAAAGTAAACACTACCAAGACATGATCTGCTTGGGGAGGAGAGGTGGCCAGTTTCTCAGAGGAAAAAGGCCAGGAGCCCCTTTGTTCAGGGGCTTTTATTGGGTTGTAATACACAGGAATACAGGCAGCAAGGATCAAACAGTAGATAACATTTCAAAGAAATCTGAGGGCTTAGTCTGAGTCAGAGTCTGTCGGGAAAGGGGCTTTGCAGAAACTTTGAGAGACATAATCATTTCCTGCTCAGACTCTTAACATATGAATAAAAGTACTCTTAACAAAGCAGGTTTCACAGGACTTTTAGGAATTCCTTCTTATGCCAGATTTACCCCAGATACCACTCTAGCTGGCAAAGGGCTGCACCACCTTCCCCATCATAGGTTTTCAGGCTTAAGTGGATTAGAGCCAGGAAGCACTTCTCCCAGAGGACATGGGGACTTAGGCTATGTCAGATAGCCAAGGGGCAAGGGTCCATTGCTCCCTCTTTGTCACAGCCCCCCCCCCCCTGCCGCATCCTTCCATGATGGCCTCCCAAGTGATCGAGTCTGGCTTAGGTTGCCCCTCACTGTGAGGAGTCTTACCCGTCATTAACTAGCCAACCATACTTTGGGGTAGGGGGGTAAGCTGAGGCAGAGTTTGCTACCAGAGACAAGCTTTGTCTCCTGTGGCTCGTGTTCCGGAGGTCACTCACTCATCCTTAGCCATGGGGGGTAGTTACAATTCCTGAAACCAGGCAGAGTGGTTCCCAACACTTTATGACAACAGTCATATTATATTAATAAATAAAAATCAAGTCTCAAAAATCCTCCCAGCTCTGTTCTGCCTCTCTCCCGCCTGTCTGCAGATGAACGGGCAGTGGGCTAGTCAGCGCCCTGCAGCAGGCAGGAAGCAGGCTGAGCACTGTGGCCTCAGGGTAAAGTCTCTGTGTCCAGAGAAACGCAAACAGCCTGAGCAGGGCCCGACGTGTGCTCTCCGCTCGCAGGGCCATGGACACAGGGCAGGGCTTGCTCCTTCCTTCCAGGTTATAAACACCCACGTCCTGCCCTTTGAAGCTGCAGGTGGCAAGGACCTTCAACGGGGCACTTGAATTCTGCCTGGCCTGGGCAGGGTGGGGCGTGCTCAGAGGCAGGAGAGCCAGATGGAAGGAGGGCTTGGCCTGGGGCCCAGTGTCCTCTGCTGTGGCGGCGCCCAGTCTTTCAGCATCCCCTCCATGTTCCCAGTGGAATTAATCACTTCCTTTGGGCCCCCAAAGCCTCCCTTCCATTGCAGCGCCTGTGACACACAATGTGTTGCCATCGTCATGTCGCAGTGGTGTCCTGACAGGTGGGGTCCTGGCAGGAGTCAGAGCCGTGAAAAGCTCCCTGTGCCGCCCTGCCCAGATGAAGTTTCCGACGAAAATATTCCTCATCTGAATATGTAAAACTTTACAGGGAAGTGCAATTTTAAATTTGTCTTTCTGGAATTTCTGATTGCAAGGTTCTGAGCAAGTCCACCCAAGCCGGACTTTCCTTGTTTTCCGCTTTGGGTGCTCTTACTCTCCTTGGGCCCCAGCACAGTCGGTTTTTGCCTCCTGGGTAGCTGAGTCCTGGCAGGGCCTGTCCTTCCCCTCTCCGTCCTCCCACCCCCAGGCCCTGTGCCTGGCACTGAGCACGCCCATTTCCAGCCACTTTTCCAAAATGAAGGAAGTCTCAGGACTCGACTCCGCCTTTTCACCCCAGGAGGGTGAATGAGGACAGATGGATTCAGTGCGGGCCTGTGGGCTCAGTGCCCCAGGAGACAGCCTGCTGAGAGGGCGAAGCCCAAGGCTAGGCATCAGGATGCCAGTTCTCAACGCAGCTCGACCTTTGTCTTGCTGTGTGACCTTGGCTAGAGTATCCTCCTCTCTGGCCCCCCATTTCCACCTCTGTGTGAGAGGTGGAACTGGCCCTGTGGGAGATGCCTTCCAGCTCAAAGACGCCGAGGTATATTTGTTTGTGAGCTCTCTGTCCACACACAGGAATCAGAGGATTGAAAATGGAGTTCGTCCCTTTGTTAGAAGCATTGTTTAGAATCTGCTGCAACGCATTTGCTAATGATTCACCATGGACCACTGATGCAGGGCAGTCCCTCCCAGTCTCCATCCCTCACCCCTTCTCAGATTCATTAAATCCACCCGAACAAAGTGCTCCCTCCTCACTGCTCTCGTCCTGCTTTGTCCATAATCATACTGAACAACAAAGAAAGCAAATAACCACAGGTGTGTGAGGCTACCACCCCCCTAACTCTTCCCACACCCCCAAAACAGATGCCCCCAACGGAATCCAGCCCTCTCAAACCCACTCCTGGCAGCACTACCAGCCAATCCAAGTGCCATCCTGACTCCCCACACAGGACCATAGACCTTTATGAGGACTGTGCCATTGAGTTACCTGTATAAGAAACTGTGTCTCAGGCATCTTTGTGTTCCTCACCTGGAGCTCAGGGTTGGCGCGTAGCACGTGCTCAAAGAGCACCTGCTGGATGGACATCGGACCAGCTCCGGTCTTTGGGCTATCCGCCCCTCCAACAAGTTGGAGTCAGAAGTAGTCACAGGTGAGCTGCCAGCACCCACCCAGAGCAGGAGCCCAGAGCCTGGCCCTCCCCTGGGGCCCACTGTCACAGTACCTTGTCTTTGACACTGTGGTCACAGCCAGAGCCCACAAGGAAGTCCAGAGCATCCAGCTGCCCGTGCTCAGCAGCCCGGTGAAACGCTGTCCTTCCCAGCTGTCCAGGAAGAGAAGACAGCGAAGCTTTGTGCCCTGCCCTGGCCTCTATTCCCTCAACCACTCTGGGCTTGCAGTGCCCTCTCCTGCCCCAGACACTCCCCGCTCCCCTCATCCCACACACCCTGCCTGGAAAACCTAGAGATGACCTCGGGACAAGGTCCCGCTAGGGGGTCCCTCCGCACTGAAATCTCCCTGTGGCTGCCTGCCACCTACTGAATAAGGAACAGAATCCTGGCGGGGCAGAGGGGTAAAGATTTCCATGAGGGACCCCAACAACCCCTTTTCACCTCTAAAGCTCTAGCAATGCTCTCTCTCCTGCTTTCTCTAACCTTACCGATCTAATTCAGTTCGTTCATTACATGTCACCTCCTCTTGGAAGCAGAAAGCAGTGGCTCCCTTCTCTAACCCGTTTGTCATGATCAGAGGGAACTGACCATGTTTCTGCCTCTGCCTTGCTCATCTGAGCCTTATGCCCCTTCCAAACCAGCAGCTCCTTGAGGCGGGGTCCAGCCTGCACTAGCCATAGCTCAAAGGACACACTCAAGGAATGGGCACAAGTGGCCCCAGGAGCCCCAAGCCCAGTGGGAAGGACAGCCTTGACACCCCACTCACCTTGTCAGCATGGTCCAGGACCACGTCCTCCAAGTCTTCCATTATGAACGCCAGCACCTGCACATGGCCTTTCTGGGCTGCGCAGTGCAGTAAGGTGAGGCCGTCCTGGAAACAAGCCCAGGGTGGCCCCTGCAGTCTGCAGGGGAGGCCCTTCTCACACACTGTGAGGAAGGCGGTCTCTTGCCCAGAAGCAACTTAAGTGAGGGATGTTTGCAAGTCCTCTGCTCACGGCCCAGAGCCTCTACCCTGGCCTTGCACTACAGCTAGAGATTGTTTAAAGCACGGCCTTCCAAACAGACTGCAACAGTCAGCAGGTCATGAAAACCAACGAACAATGTTTTACGTCCTGACAGAGGTTTGGAGTACACAGGACTAGCATTTGCCAAATCTCAGAGAATATAAATTTAAGATACGTATATTTCACTGCAGGTAAAAAAATTCAACCCTAGTTACTGGCATGTTTGCTGAAGTAAAGATAAGTACGCTGGTGTCTGTAATTTATTCTTAAGCACATCAAAAATTTATAAAGAACTCTAAAAACTCATCAATGAGAAATTAGACAACACAATTAAAAAATAATTTGGAAATGAAAGAAGATAATATGGAAGAAAAATAAGCACATGAAAAGATATCTGACATCATTAGTCATTACTGAAATGCAAATTAAAACCACAAAGAGCTTCTAACAATGGATTACGGGAAGGGAAAACGCCAACGTTACAGTGGAGAAACCTGGCCGACATGCTTTAACTAAGTGACCAAGAGTAATACTATGATTTATAATAAGAAAAATATATTTAGTCTTTGTCCACGTTCCCGAAACAGGGCTCCTAAAACCTGCAGGAAAAGATGTCTTCTGTTATGTTAATGAGACTGGGAAACCCCGCCCCCCAGTTACCTAAGGATGGGGGCTGGTTGCCTGGGGAACCAACCTTGATTAGAAGGCTGAAACGTTCAGTCCCACCCCCTGACCTGTAGGAAAGGAGAGGACAGAAGGTTGAATCAAGCACCAGTGGCCAAGGACTGCATCAATCATATCTATGTAAGGAAGCCCACCCCTGGGGGGCGGGGAAGAGGGAGTTTGGAGAGTTTCCGGGTTGGCAAACCAGACTGCATCCCTGTGCTGGGCCCCAAGCTCTATGAGGACAAGCAGCTCCTTTGGCTCAGGACCTGATCCTATGAATTTCTTCATCTGGCTAGTGATGATTTACATCCTTTAATATCCTTTGTAATAAACTAGTAATCGAGTAGTAAATGAGCGTCCTGAGTTCTAGGAGCTGCTCTAACAAATAGTCTGGACCTGGGGAGGGGTTAGTGGGAAACCCAGATAAGGACCTGGACTTGGGTCCAGGCATGTGAAGCGGAGCCCTTAACCCGTGGAATCTGACGCTGTCTCCAGGTAGATGGTGTCAGAATTGAGTTAAATTTGCAGGACACCAGGTCAGTGTCCTGACCTGGTGGAGAACTGAGTTAATTACCTGGTGGCATGGAAAAAACACACACACAGGAATTGGTGTCAGAACTGGATCAAAGTAACATGACCAGTGACGAATCATGCTGAGGCTGTGGGACACAGATGTGAACAGAACAAGGACAATGGGCTAGATGCAGAAGGTCACCAGGGCAAAAAGCCCCAGGTGCCTAGCAATGGACAAACCTGGGAAAACAAGGACCTTGTCCCCAGGGTCACCTTCCCCCACTAGCATACTGCATGATCTTTTATATCACTCCTGAGCTTTCCTCCCCTGGCATGTCACTAGTCATGTGGTAGACCCCTGTAGAGGGAGAAGGAGGGGCAGGAGAATAGCCTCATTGAACCCCCATGCAAGCCCTCGAGTGACCACTCCCCGAAGCATTGACCCCTGGGGATAACATCTCAGTTGTATTCCAGCTCCAGGCCCAGAAAAACAGCAAAACCAGACAAGTGGGCGGACCTCAGGACCAGCTGCATTGACTAATGTGCCTCTGCCCTGCACTGACCAATCACTGGAAACCACTACCCTGAAAGGACACACCTGGCAAGCTCATGAATATTCTGTTGAGATCCTCCCCTGGAACCGCCCCTAAGTTCTTCACCCTTAAAAGCCTTTAGGATGCGGACTCAGAGTGCTCTCCCTTGGGGAGCAGCCGGAACCTCGTCCCCTCCCCAGGCCCAGTACCCTCACTCTTTTCTTTCCTAAGCTCCCAGGGCCCTCTTCTTCTGCCTCTGTTCTAAATAAACTTGATCTTACACTTTAAGTCTTGGCTCTGAGTTCTTTCCTAATGAGAACTCAAGTACTGAGGTTACAGAACCAAGGTCTGGCTGGCCACACCCGTCTCACACCTGGTGCGGTGTTCTCGCGGCTGCAGCGTCCTTTGCCCCCTGACAGCAGGAGGTGAGAGAGGCACTTGACCGCTGTGGTCTTCTTCCCAAAATTCTACTGCCCCAATCTAATCAAACATTAGACAAACCAGAATGAAGGACGTTCTATAAAATACTTGACTGGTACTCTTCAAAAATGTCAAAGTGTAAAGAACAAGAAAAGACTGAGAAATTGTCACAAGATTGGAGGAGATGAGGGGGCAAAGATGACCAAATGCACTGCAGAATATTAATGAGAAAACTAATGAAATTTTAATGCAGTCTCTAATCTAATAAAACTTTAAGTATCACCGATGACTGGCAAACGCAGCCAGGGAAAGAGAAATCTTCCGGCTGAGCAGACAGGAATAACCAACAGTCTAGTGGCCCAACCCACAGCGACCCTTCTGAAGGTGAGATGAGAACCTCAGGGGACGACCCAGACAAGGGACAGAAAGGAAGACTGGGCGCACTGTTCGCAAAGATGGCCACAGCTGTCCCTTCCACCCTTGGAAACACCGAATGACGGGACTGTACTACTTCTGTCAAGAGGGGGAGCCCAGTGTTCTCCACCCTCTCCACCCTGGCTATGTGATGGATTTTGAGCAATAGAATGTGGTGGGCACAATATCATGTGACTTTCCAGCCTTGGCCTCAAGAGACCATGCCACTTCCACCCTTGCATTCATTCGTCATTGAAAGAAATGCTAAATTTTACGGCAGAAGTTAGTGAAAAAGAAGTTATTTTCCCTGTCCAAATCCTTGGATTCTTGAATTCGAAGGACCCAGGTTGAGAACCCCTGCCTGACGGCATTGGGCCAAGATGTCTGCACTTCCTTTAGAGCTACGCACGGTGCAGGGATTGCAGGCACTCTGACTGGCTGGGCCCTCCTCTCTCAAACAGCCCGCACCTCTCTGAGCAGCAAGGAACTGCTTCTCTGCCCGCCCCACGCTGACACTGCTGTGCCGGAGACTTTATCCACTGCACTGCACTTGCTCCTCCCACGGCTCAGAGGTGGGTCCTGGCATCCCCCTTTCCAAAGGGAAAACTGAGACTCGGGGGGTAAAGTAACAAACCCAAGGTCCCAGGGTTTGGTAACTGGTGCTTTCTTCCTATCCCTCCACCCTGAGCACGAAGGAGGCAGAGCCCTTGTCATTTAATCTTCCTGCCACCCTCTGAGAGTGTTACTTGTGCTTGTCTTCTGCGAATAAGCAGGCTGGTCGGACAACTGGCATCTGTCCTGACTTCCAGAGTGGTGGAGGACGGTGTACAGTATTGATGGAAGAGGCACCTGAGGCCCTTCTCCCAATGCCAGTGAAAGCAGAGAGGGCCCCAGCTTCACAGGTGGAACTCAGCTGGTTTTTCAGGAAGCAAGCTGGGGCAGGCCGAGGCTTGTGGGGGCTGAAGGGGGCAGCAATGGGGCAGGTGGCAGAGGTGGGAGCAGACCTGTGCAGTTGGGGGTCAGGAGGAAGAGTGGGGGCAGGGGTACTAGGGTCAAGTGGGCTGCCAGCTGGAGCCTTACCTTGTTCTCACAGTGAATCTTGGCTCCTGAGTTAACCAGGATCTGAAGAATCTGTAAGTGGCCGAACCAGGCAGAGAGGAGAATTGCATTCATCCCAAACTAGGGGAGAGGACAAGGCAGAGGAGGGGAGGAGAATGTGAGGAGGCAAGGCTGCAGTGTGAGATCATACCACGTAAGGGGCCATCAGTGCCACCCAGGCCAAGGAGCTCCCAGCTTTAAAAATTGAAAGCCCAGGAAATTTTTAAGAAACAGAGGCTGATGTACTATTGTGAACTTCTTCAGGGTAGGCAGGGTGCTAAATAAAACTCAGTGAAATAGATACTATCTGCTGTCACCACCATCTCATACAGAGGGACCATTTTAACACAAAAAAAAATTGGAAGGAGCCAATCTCAGAATATACTCTTTGCAAATAGTTTTCACAAAAACTACACTGCAGTGTTTCTATTCTCTGATCTCCTGCGATGGGTGAAGACCTCCTCCTGGGCTGGCGTTTGAGAACCAGCTATTCAAATCTCCCACAGAACATCCTTCAGGCTGGAGTAAGTGAGCCCATGTGCAGGGACAGCACCTCGCCACCGCACCAGACAGCCACCGCACCAGACAGCCACAGTGAGAAAGCCCCTCCCTACGCTCTGCTTGAATCTGCATCTCTGTGCCCTCTGCTCCACCGGCCCTTTGGGGCAACCGAGGACATGCTCAGGCCTCCATCTGATGGCTGCCCAGCGAGTTCGCAGGATGCTCTTCCTCAACACCTGCAGCGTGCTCCAGGGTCATCAGAGCCCCTTCACTGACCTCGGTCCTCATGGGGTCCTGCCTCTGAGGGCAGCCCTGGCCCCACTTCCTCTGAGTCTTCCCCACTCTGTGAAGAGCACCCCTAAGCCTCCAAACTCCCCTCCCAGGTGCATCGACAGCTAGCCGCCCTCTGTGGTGATTTTTCGCTCTCTCCTCGGCTGTGGTGGTATCGAGTGAGGTCTGAGCAAAACAGAGGCCGGACGGACCAGCGCCACTTTTGGCCCAGAGGCTGTGCTGTTTTCCCTCAGTGTTGGGCGCCCCAAGGTGTGTCTGTAAGTCCGGTGTTCCTAGGCCAGAAATGTGGCTCTAGTCCCCCAGCAAGGCCCAGGGCCTGTCATACACAGAATAGGCCCACAGTGGGGCTTCATTCTGATGCGCCAAAGAATCTCCCCACAAGCAGAAGGAGAAAGGCTCCCTGGTCCAGCTGGGACCAGAGATGCGAAGCCCACTTCATGAAGATGCAAGGTGTCAGCCAGTGTCCCCCTAATCTGCTCCCACGCCAGCAGGCTCCAAGCTCCTAGGTCCTCGGGCAGCACCCAGAGGGACGGGCTGGCTGGCTCCAAGTCCTGAATCAGCCTCAGTCTCAGTCTGGACCTGGACAGGGTGGGGGGCATCCCAGCACCTGTATGGAACTCCCTGGCCACAGCTGCCTCCCCACTGGCTCCACGGGAAGGGGTGACAGGAAAGGGGGTCTTCGTGGCTGGCACCGGGGCTCCTCTTAGGTACCATGTTTACGTAAAGGCTTTGACAAGTGGTTGGGGTGAGAGGTGAAATCCAGCAGGCACCGGAACCTAAAGCAAGTTTCACAGCTCTGCTTTGGCAATGGGCAAGCACTGGGCGGAGGGGTGACAGAAGACAGGGACAGGGCTGAAGGAGGACTGTGGGGAGCAGAGGCTGAGCCCATGACAAGGGACGCACCAAAGGACTTTAAAGAACAGGAATGGAAAAGAAGATTTTAAGATTTTTACTTTGTCTTCATGTAAATCCCCCCCACCCCTTATTTTGGATGGCCTGCCCCACAATACAGGCCTTGTGTGCGGGTCTCCACGGAAGTCGGGGAGCGGCGCTGGGATCCACGTTAGGGGTGATGCCAGGGTAGAGACACAGGGTTATTTTTTTAAATAATTTTTTAATTTTCAATTACAGTTGATGGGCACTATTGTATTATTGCTTCAGGTGCTCAACCCACTCATTACACATTTATGTAACTCACAGAGCAATCACTCCGATAAATCTAGTACCTACTGACACCGTGCGTACAAAGTGGGGCAAAAGCAGGTTTACAGTTGTGAGTGTGTGAAACACAGAGTTTATTCTTACATTATTATTTATTAATTATTGCATTATTTTCCATGCAACTGTAAACCTGCTTTTGCCCCACTCTGTAGTTATTTCAATTTTTAAAAATATTTTATGTATTTATTTTAGAAAGATGGGAAGGGAGGGAGAGAGAGAGAGAAACATCGACTGGTTGTCTCTTGCAGGCCTCAAACTGGGGACCTGGGCCAGACACAGGTGGTCTGACTGGGAATCAAACCAGCAACCTTTTGGTTCCTAGGCTGGCACTCAGTCTACTGAGCCACATCAGCCAGGACCGTTATTAATTACAGTATTATTAACTATATTCCTATGCTGTACTTTACATCCCCATGACTATTCTGTAACAACCAATTTGTACTTCTTAACCCCTTCAGCTTTTTCACCCACCCTCCCAACCTCCTTCCCATCTGGCAACCTTCCCAATGTTCTTTGTATCTACGAGAGACAAAGGGGGTTTTTTGCAAAACATAAGAGGACAGCAAAAATTGAGCAGAAGCTGAAAGTAAGAGCCAGCAGTAACCACAAGAATTTAAGACCTTCCTCCTGAAATCTTAGGGAAGGTGCGGGACCTGCCACAGCACCTCTCATGGGGACTGGAGGTGGCCTAGCTAGAGCAGAGAGGCTCAGAGACCCAGCTGGACTCAGAGCTCAGCCCCTGGGAGGACGTCAGCAACCGTGGGCTGATGGAACGAAGGGAATGGATAAGCCTAGTGCAGAGTCTGGGAGCTTGGGAATCGAAAGCGGTAAGGCTCTTGGCGGTGGGGGGGGGGGTCCATGCTGCCACGGCCTGCTGCCCCCCGGGGACCCCAGGTCCTAGTTCCAGGCACTTCCCAGAGCAGAGCCCCTGGCATATCACTAAAGCCCAACAGCAGATTCCCCCTCTCCTCTGCCCTCCTGTTACCACCAGCCTCCTTATTTTTCAAGAGATATTCATTGCTATTTGCAAAGAAAACAGACTTATGGAAGCCCTCGCTTACTCTTCTCCCTCATATCCTCTTTTCTCACCCAGCCCCTCCAGGGAGGAATCACTGAGCACAGTGGTCACGGTGGGGGTCTTTGTGGGCAAAGGGCTGACCAAAGAGGGTCCGGAGTTTTATTGGGAAACTCAGATTAGGGGTCCCAGACATTCTCCTCCGCAGTCACCTCTGAACAAGGCCCGGCAGGTGCAGGGAGGAGGGGGCGGTGGGCTGCAACCAAGCCCTCCCCGGTGGAGGGGTCTGGAAGCAGGGAGAAGCCAGGACGAAGGAAGGAATTTCCATGAATGCTAAGTGTCTGCCAGGAAGTTTATCATTCTTTGTTTGGTTTGGGTTCATTCATTTTTTCTTATTGTTCACATATGTAATTTATGCCTGCTTTTTAAAATTTTCATTGTTGTTCAGGTACAGTTTTCTGTCCTTTACCCCCACCTCAGCCCACCCCCCCACTCTGTTTCTTTTTTTATTTGATCTCAAATAATTTTACCTTTATTTCACTGATATAGCTAACAGTTTTAATTATAGATGCATTTAAAGGAATTTTAGATTATAGAGAAAAACAACGATGATAATTGTTAAACAATGATAATGATTTAAATTGTAAATAATCACTCTAAATTACAATGTGGAATCTATGGGTTTATTCCCATATATAATTTTTTACTTAAATTTAGGTTTTTTTTCTTTAATCCCCACCTGAGGATATGTTTTATTGATTCTTTTAGAGAGGAGGGGGGAGAGAAAGAGAGACATTGATCTGGAAGAGGAACATTGATTGGTTGCCTCCCTTATGCATCCGGACCAGGGATCGAACCCAAAATCTAGGTATGTGCCCTCAAACCTAAAAACCTTTGGTGTATGGGATGACGTTCCAACCAAGTGAGCCACCTGGCCAGGGCTAAATTTAGATTCTTAAATGCATCTCTGTCAAATGGCATTGTCAGAATCAGCCCTCTCCTCAAACCTGTACAGCTAATTTTGTAGATCCTGTTACTCTTCAGGGCTCTGTCTCAGCAATGTGCTGCCTGATGATTTGTTAAGTAAGACTGTTAGTCTTTATGCAAAGTGTTGATTAAAGAATTAGCCAGGACAGGTCCTAGCTGGTGTAGCTCAGTAGACTGAGTGCCAGCCTGTGAACCAAAGGGTCACCAGTTCATTCTCAGTCAAGACATATGCCTGGGTTGTGGGCCAGGTCCCCAGTAGGGGGCGCGCAAGAGAAAACCACACATTGATGTTTCTCTCCCTCTCTTTCTCCCTCCCTTCCCCTCTCTCTAAAAAGAAATAAATAAAATCTTTAAAAAAAAAGAATTAAGCAGGACAAGCCTTGTGGCGTATCATAGGAGAATTGCCTCCAGCTGCCTTTACTAATAAGGCCTTTAATAATCCACCCAATTATCTGTTCTACAGTCCAGATCTCTCCTTGCTCACACGATATCAGGAGGAACTGAAAAGGCTCTCTGAGAACTGAAAGGCCCTTGAAAATGCAAGAACTAAGTGGGGCCAGAGCAGTGTCAAAGCCCTTAAAGGCTTAGACTCCCTGCCCGCCCTGCACATCTGAGTGTCGTCGGCCACCTGGCAACAAGGGCTGGCCCATAGATCCAGAGTGAGCTCTGATGCCCCTCCTCTACCCTGAGACAAACAGACAGACATGCACACTCAGACACGCCTCCATAGGGGCCCCTACCGCATCCACGTCGTCCACAGCGGCCTCGTGCTCCAGAAGCAGCCGTACAGCTTGTTCGTGCCCCGCGCCTGCGGCCCAGTGCAGGGCCACCCTGCCCACCTGCCAGGAATGAGAGGAGTCCTGTGAGGTGCTGGCTGGCTGCCTGGCCTGCCGCCCACACTCTCCCCACCACCCGGCCAGGAGGCTGGTCTGCAACGGAAGGGCCTTTGCTGGCTCCGGTGACCAGCCCCACCCTGGCCCCTCCTCCTCCACACAGCAGCAGCTGAAATGAACGTAGTAAAACACAACGACCAGATCCATCTGTCCCCACCTAAAACTCTTCACAGCTCCCACTGCTCCTGGGACAAACCTCATGGCCAGGACATGCACCAGAGGGGACAACGACAGGAGACAACTGATTTTCTATGAGGTGTCTCTGGGGACCAGTGTTCCTTCCTCAAGGCTTCTGCCCATGCTGTCCTCTGTGCCCAGAGCACTGTCCTTCTTCGCTGGCTCCTACACACACACCTCTTCCTCAGGACGCCTACCCTGACCCCTGGGGGGCGGGCCCTCCAACCCCCACGTGCTCTGGACTCCATCACACCGGGAGGAATTGTTTGTGTGCCCTGTTTAGTGGCAGTCCTGCCCCGCCACACTATCAGCTCCAAGAGGGCAGGCATCACGTCTGCCGCGGGTTCCGCTCTGTCCCTAGCACCTAGCTCAGTGCTGGCACGGGCTAGCAAGCCACCATAAATACATATAGACTGAACGAATCAGTGAATGAGTGAATGAATGAATGAACAAGTCTGGCATTAGCAGCCTATCACCCAATAAGTCCATGCTTCCTTGCTGGTGCTCATCCAGAAACTGAGGCCGAGGCTCCAGTCACCAGTAAGTTGCTGTGTGACCTACCATGACTTGCTGCCCTCTCTGCACCTACCTCAACATATAGGCAGGACTAATACTTTCTGCCCTCCTCACCTCTCCAGGGGTGAGTGAGGACCACCAGGAAACAGGCAGACGAGTGTCCTGAAAACCCCAGAATGCCTGTTACTAAGCACTGCGTCCCAGGCAGGCCCCGAAAGCCCAGGTCACACCCCTGCTGCGTCATCCCAGGCAGAGAAGCTTCTGCTGCACTCAGAAATCCGGCATCCGACCTTCTCGGCCCCCACTGACCAGGTGACCAAGGCTGTCGTCTCCTCTGAGGGGCTCCTGACAGCCAGGGCCCCAAGGCGGGGAGCTGATGCTACCCCCAGTGGTACTCAGGACTATCCTCAGTGTCCCCCAGCAGAAAGAATGGCTTTTCCCTCTGTCCCCTTCCCCAGCAGGGTTGTTGACCCCTCACCCACGACCTTCCCTGAGGCTTCGTCAGCAGGGCTAGTCTGCCTCCCAGGCTGGTCTTTGAGTCCCCAAAGGCAAGTTGGGGCCCACGGCAGCTTTACACACTCAGTGGACCCCGAGGGCCCTCAGAGAACTGAGCTAAGTTTCTCCTCATGTGTGCGCAGCCTGTTTTGGTCTGGTCTCGCTCGGTCTCAAACCACTGGACTTCTGACCAGAGCCAGCGCATCACCTTTGTTCCTCCAGCTGTTTGCCTCTATCGACCTACCTGCCAGCCTCTTACTCTTGACCTTTGACCCCCTGGTGTCCTGACTCTGACTTTTGTTCCTTGGGCATCCCTGTCAGGTGGGTGACAGGGGTTAAGACTATAAACTCTGGAACTGCAGAAGCCTGGCTCAGAATCCTGACCCTGACCTTGGGCGAGGCCTCAGAAATGTGGACAACCTGAGCCTCACTCAAGTTAACCCATGCAAATGGGGGCTCCGTGAACTGTCCCTCCTCGGCGGGGACATCCCCACCACATCCTGAGCTGGAGGATCCTGTTTACGCACCTGGTTTCTGGCCCGGACGTTGACTCTTCTCCCAATCAGCTCCTTCATTATCCCAACGTTGTTCCGGCGCGCAGCCTCGTGGAGCTGCCTCTCCAGAGGGTGCACTGAGGGGGTAAGAGGGATGTGGAATGATGGGAGTCCCCACACTGCATGTCGAGGAGCAGTGAACAGACCTCCCCGCGCCCTGAATGTTTCCTGGGCCCGAGTCTTCCAGAGGAATGGAGAGTGGAGGCGGGAGGGGAACACCGCTTCTCTATCTCTGTGTCGAGACTTCCCCAGACAAGTTGTTCTTCTTTTTAACAAATTTTTATTTGTTGATTTTAGAGAGAGAGGGGAGGGTCAGAAAGAGTGAGACAGGAACATCAATTTGTTGTTCCACTTATTGACACACTCATGGATGCTTCTTGTATGTTCCCTGACTGGGAATCGAACCTACAACCTTGGCACATGGGGGCGAGGCTCTACTCAACTTATCTACCCAGCCAGGGCCAGTTGTTTTTCCTTCTGACTCACCACGTGTGCACATGGCCAGGACTCTGTGACTCCTGAAGATGGGAGACTACGAGCAAGACCATCCACAGAGCTAAGTGTGTGTCCCTGACCCTCAGAGGTGTCCCATCATCCAGGTCTCATGTCTTCTCCCCAGAGCTGCTCTTAGGGAGGGAGTGAAATTCATTCCCCCTGGAGTCAACAGCTGCCTTTTTCACCGTGTTATGTAGAAAACAGCCAGGATCCACTGAGCCACCTATTGCATCAGGCCCTGCAGAGGCCAGAGGCACGTTCACCGGGCATCTTCATCCTCATCTGCCCACCTTTTCTCCCCTCCCAGCTGGGGGCCTGCTCTGTGGTCTCCCTGCGCACCCCTCCCCCTCATCACTGTCCCTTTACCTAAGACAGTCTCAGACTAGATGGAACCTCAGAGCTTCCCTGCCAGGCCCCTGCCATGGGCAGCGGTAAACTTCAAGCAGGGACATCACTCTTATTTTCACTGCGGGCCACATCAACCTTGCAGTTGCCTTCAAAGGGCCGAATGTAATTTTAGGACTGTGTAGATGTAACTACTCCTTAACTAGGGGCAAGGAGCTCGGGACTACTGCCAGATAGAAACAAGGTGCCGGGCTGGATAAACCAAGGTGGAGGGCTAGATTCAGTCCACGGGCCTTGTGTTTGCCACCTGTGGCTTAGTGGGTTGGTGGCCAAGTCAGGAGGAATCAGGCCTGGTGACCCCTCCCCCCCATGCTGCTATCATCCTGACTGTTCTTAGCTTGTGAAGATGTCAGATCTCTCTGGCTGGGCCTCAAGCTCCTTGGGGGTCCTGGCCACACAGGACAATCCACCCATTGCTCACAGCAGGCCCAAAGCTGGGTACGGGAAGGAATCCACAAAATTCTGCTTCCATGAATGACACAAATAATCTCCAGACTAATAGATGCCAACCCCTCCTCCAAAAAGCTCAGACACACTCACACAAGGGACAAATATGCCCTGGCCCTTTGCACAGTCATCACGGGGAGGTAATCGTGTGGTTTTCTTGCTGCCAAACCTACATCCTGCGTGTGTGGTCCAGTGTGAATGTCCAGACCCAGCTACTGTCAATCTAGGGACAGGTGGCCAGTGTCTGGCAGGGAAGGCCAACGCTGCACCAAAGTGACAGACAGACCTACACTCAGTTTGCTTTTCCTGATAAATGTTGCACGGCTTTCCAGATGTAGGAGAGGGTCCTGGGCTTCCCGATGCCTCATAGATACACCTGTGGACCTCAGAGCTGCTACCCCTGGGGCAATCAGCTCCGCTGAGTCACTTGCTGACTGTATGACTTAGTTACTTAACTATCCTGTGCCTCAGTTCTCTCATATTTCAAATGGGGACATAATTGCTTTGCAGGGTTATTGCTAACGATTAAATATGAAATACAAAAAGCTTCTGGCATGGTGTCTGGAACACAGTGCCATAATCATTGTCACTAATATCTCTCCAAGGCAAAGGGTCAGAGATTCAACTCTGGGAGCCAAAGACCTGAAAGTGGCCAGACCTCCTTCATTTGAGACTGACTGGACCATCGGAGCCCCAACCAAGGAAAGTACCGTCCCTACCAAACCTCCCTGCATTATCATCCCCCATAGCACCTCTCATCATTGGCAGATGCCATGTTTACAACTTTAAATTTATTGTCTGCTTCCCCCATTACAATAGAAGCCCATGAGGGGAGAGATTTTTCTCTGATTTGTTAACTATTGTATTCTCAAATGCAGGCCCTGGCATTTATTTGTTGAATGAATGAGCAACACGCAAACCATTACATCTCTTCGGGGGCCTTGTATAAAATGCTGCCCAGTGAAGACTCATTAGCCCCATAGAAAACCAAACCTTAAGCTCAGGTAAATGATAGGAGAAAAAAATCCCCAGAGGAAAGCAGCTTCCTGTTGATACTTAAGGGGATGGAGAAAACATCAGCTTCCAAGTGGGGTCCACATTGATAGCTCCAGCCAAAGAGTCTGCCTTCCATTCCAAAGCAGTCTGCCTTCCCTACAGGTGAGAAGACCCATCTGGATGGAAGAGTCCCTCTCAGATCTCAAATCTTTCCGGGAGGCACTTGGGTCCCCAGCTTTTCTTTCCTTAATCTCTTGGCTGAAAGCTGCCGTGATCCAGGCCTGGGAAAAGAGCTGGCACTTCAGGTATGAGCTTAGAGAAGGTGGGGTTCTAGTGCCCACATTGACACTTTCTAGAAGCAGGATCCTGGGCTAGTCACGACCCCCTGGGATCCGGGGGGGCAGGTCTCAATTTCTCCAGCTGTATAACTGGGGGACGGTGAAGGAAGTGATCTGAAGAGATCTCTTCCAGCCTAGACTCCCTTTCTCTCAGAGGAAGCCTGGAGCGAGTGGTTGGGTTTGTGCCCGCAGACAGCCAGGAGTCGGAATGGGAGCAAGCAGACCCCACAGAGCACCAGTGAGATCAAGTCTCATCTCTCCCCTCCAGCCCCACCCATGCACCCTCTCTGTGGCCACATCAAATACACAATGCACTCTGGCCTCTAGGGCCTTTGCCGGGGCTGGGCCCTTGGCCGAGACTTCCACCCCACACCTCCCAGTGAACCTTACTGTGCATGGTTAAGGTCCTCATCATGTGATCCGTTTCCCCCATGAAGAATCTGTACACTCTGAAACAGCACCTGATAGAGCCCCCCGTCCAACCCCCATCCCAGTGAGGACACTGGCGCCAGCCCTCGCACCCCTCTCCCAGCCAAAGCCCGCTAAGGCCAGCTGATGCCCACGTGGAAGCTGCTGCCCGACCTCGGGGGCCCGGCATTGGGCCCCGGCATTGGGCCCCCTCCTTGAGCGAGGCTGTGGGGTGCCCTTACCCCACTGCAGCACACCATGGCTCCTCTCCTCTGGGTTTCCGTTTCCCCGTCTGGTACGGTCCCCACTCTCCGACCAGCCCCGACAGGCCGGGGAGGCTGAGGCCTCCAGCTTGTTTTCTACTGAATGACTGTGTGCCCTTGGGCCATTTACTTAACCACCCCGTGCCTCAGCTTTCTCTAATGCTAAAACGGAGGCAGCAGTAGGTCCTACCCATTGGGCCGCTATGAAGATCAAAGAGCGTGCCTGTCCTGGCTTGGCCTGGCACACAAACTAAGTGCTCGATAAAGGATCGCATTACCATCTTATTTCTAGCTAAGGTCTCCGGCGCGGGGCTAGTGTGCCCTCGGCCCGGTGCGTTCCTCTCGCCACCACAAAGGAGCCCAAAACGGAGGTAGACACGCGTAATGTGCCAATCCCAGGCTAGGTCGCCCCTACGGGGTTCGGGGGGCCTCTGCCCGCTCCCACCCCCCACCCCGGCCTCCCAGCGCCGCTGACTCACAGCCGTCAGTCTCCCACGACAGGTGCTCCCCCATGCCGCCGCTCCGCAGCCTTTGCGCGCTCCCGGCCCGGAGCCAGCCCGCCAGCGGCGCGACCGCCAGGGCGGGGCAGCAGTGGAGGGGAGTGGGCTCAGAGCAGGGGCGGGGAGCTGCGAGAAACGGGCGGGCCGCAACCGCACCTCCAGACCCCTCCTCCCGCCTCGGCCCCTGAGGACGAAGTCTCCCCGCCCCTCTCCATCCCGGTCCAGGCTGCTGGTCCCTCCTCGGGCTCCCTGGTCCTGTCCACCACTCAGCGCCTTTCACACCCATTGACCGGCAGATAGGGGCCGCTCTGGGCTCCGCAGGTCCCCCCTGGGCGTGTCTCTCCCCCTAGAGCTGCCCCAGCCCCTCGTCCAGTGGTGCATGCAAGGCCTCCGGCAGGCCCCGTCCTCGGGGACTTGGGAGGCTTTTAAGGAACAGAAACGCCAGCGAGCCTGAAAACGTATGAAAAGATGGTCAGATTTCTTCGTGATCAGAAAAATACAATTTAAAATGATAATGAGATACCACGTACACCAATTAGGTTGACAAATTAGAAAGCTGAATAATGCCACATGTTGGTGGGGACTGAGGAGCTGTCACAGCCAAGTCACTGCTGGTGGGCGTAGACTGGGACAGCCATTCTGAAACACAGTCTGGCAAAACGAGGGATATTACAGACAGCAAACTGTGACCCTAACATCCAGCTCTCCTCTTACTCTTCACCTGTAAAACCCATGGGTTGGAGGCAGGGTCTGTGAGCGGTCCAGCCCCATGGTCCCTGGCTGGGCATGGCAGTGACCTTTCTCCAGGTCACTCACAAGGAGTTGAAGGCCCCCCAGCACTGGTGACAGGTTTCTCCACAAGACGGGCCTGCCTGGCTTTTCCTTGTTCTTAACTTCATGTCTTAAGAAATCAGAGGTTTTTGGGTTTTGTTTTTTTAAACAAAAGAGAACCGTGACTGGTGTTCTGCAGTCTGCCGAGTTGATTTCACGCTCCTTTGCTATTTGAGTTCTGTGAGAAAGGCGGCGTCCCAGGCCCCAGCCCGGCCCTGCTGAATCGGAACCTGCATTACAACAAGGTGCCCGGTGACTCCTGCTCACGCTGAACTAGGAGAAGCACCGCTCCAGGCTGGCCACCCCACCGTCCCAGCCCATCTTTTACAGGCTTCTACTGTGAGACTCTCCACAAGCACACCCAGTCTCTCGCCCTGTCTCCATTCACCAAGCGCCAGCTCTGAAGCAGCCCTGTGTCGGCCCGGGTCAGCACTATCTCCTGTACTCTGCTCACCTGCCCTGTGGGGTGATGCTGTTATCAAATTCTTTTTCAAGGAGAAAACTATTGTGCACATACAGTCTTAGGACCTGAGGGAGCACAGGCCTGAGGTGCCCACAGCCAATACGTGGCCAGTTGAAAAACAGCAGGTAGGCTGCAGAGCCGCCAGCACTGAGGGCAAGGCTGTGGCACCTGCTTCTGCACATCCCCCTGCAGGAAGACAGGAACATAGTGTCAGGACACAGTTCATGATGGCCCATGTCACCTTACAGTGGTGGACACCTTGCTCTCAGAGTCTCAGGGCAAGTCCCAACTCTCTGGGAGTCTGGGGGTCGCTGCTGGGGTCGAATGCACTGCAGTCCTCAGAGAAGCCCAGGTCTGCAGTGCACCCTGCCTGCTCCCCGTTCTGAGATATCTTGGTTCTGGGCCTCTGAAACTGGGGTGTCGCATACTCTGGGGTACACAGTGGTGGACAAGGGGCACAGGAAAACCCAATCAAAACCTCAGTTTTAGCCCTGGCTGGTGTAGCTCAGTGGATTGAGTACGGGCCTGCAAACCTAAAGATCGCGGCTCAATTCCCCATCAGGGCACATGCCTGGGTTGCAGGCCAGTTCCCAGCAGGGGCCAGTTCCCAGCAGGGGATGCACCAGAAGCAACCATACATTGATATTTCTCTCCTTCTCTCTTTCCCCTCCCTTCTAAAGATAATTAATTAATTAATTAATTATTTTAAAAACCTCAGTTTTACATGATGCCTGGCAGGCGGTGGAAAAGTTGCATTTTTTTTAAAAAGCAACCATGGCTTTATGAGTACAGGTACGAATGCAAAATCCAGTGGGTCACTGTGGACAAGGCCACAGAGCTTTGAGTGTTCCCGCTGCTCCATCTCTGGGGGGTAATGGAAGGAAATGTTTGGGGGAGCCAGACACTGGCTCGGCCCTTTTTCCGTTCCTGCCAGGATGCAGAGCCCATTTCACCGTGCGTCCCCAGCACTCACCACACACACACACACACACACACACACACACACGTGCGCACACACACTAACCACCTCCATGACATTCTCAAGGAAGGTAGTACCCAGCTTCACACATGTGCTGCCTCCATCCCTTTGGCATCAGAGACTGTGGGGTCAAGGGACAAGACAAACATGTGATTCAGAGACCACCAGGGTTGACATGGAGGGACAGAGGGCCTGAGAGCACAGTGTAGGCTTCGGGGTAGGGGATAAGGGGTGGCTTCAGGGCCTGTGTGAGTCGCGCGACAGAGGGAAGTGATTGACCTTAACACTGACTAGAAATAAGGAGGAAATATGAGGAAAAATGGGTGAAAATTTGGTTTGGACTTCTGGTCAAGATGTCAGCATAGGTAAATGCAGCTGGCCTCTTCACATAACACATCAAAATTACAACTAAAATATAGAACAACCATCAGACACTACCAAAAATTGTGTTCAGCGGAAGTCTGACAACTACAGAATTACTGAAACCACCTCCATTGGGACTGGTAGGAGGGCCGCGGACACTGAATGGGCTGGCCCCTTCCTCACCCACATGTGGTGGATAAAAATTATGGAGGGATATCTTGGGAACAAGGAGTCCCAGCCTAACACAAGGCTCCCCAGCCCAGGGTCCAGTGCCGGGAAAATAAGTCCCCACGACTTCTGGCTGTACAAACCAGCAGAGATTGGGGTAAGTGGAAGAAACTTCTGGAGACCCAAGCAGTTCCTCTTAAAGGACCCACACATGGACTCGCCTACTCGGACTCACTCCCTCTGAGCTCCGGAGCACTGTGGTAGAGCTTAAAAGGCACCAGTGGCAGTGAGGGAGAAACTGAAGGTTCTGGCATCACGGCAAAAAGATGCCATTGTCCCTTTTCTAAACTATCCCCCTGCAGAGTCACAGAGCCAGCAAGCTGATGCCACATCTGAGACTCCATCAACCTGGCTAACACTTTCTGCCGCATCCTGGAGATCCCCAGAGACCCAACTTTTGGTCCCAGCCAAACTTCTTTTCCATATGAATGGCTGGTTTGGGCTCATGCTTCACAACTTCCTAAATCCTATCAAATAAGCAACAGCTGGCCTCAGTGAGCCCCAGGCCTGGCACTAGCAGCAGCCAGCCTAGACTCACAGCTTGGCTTTGCCTGGGGATCTCCAAGCCCAGCATAAGTAGCAGCCATCGCAGATTGCTGTATAGCTCAGGAAGGGTGGCCCAGGGTAAAATGTGGGTGGGGCTGACCTTGGCCAGCACCACCCGGGAAACCCCAGAGAGCCTGCGCACCCAGTGGACAACTGCAAACTACGTCAGAATACTGCCGCCCTTCCCCTGCACGGCTGATCCTCCACGGAAGGTGGAGGTTGGTAGTAGGTGGTCAGAGCCAGTCCTTGCAGCTGACTTGCCTGGGTAAATCCCTTCCGTTGATCTGCCAACAGCAACCAAGGCTCAACTACAAGAGGAGGGTGTACTAAGGGTGTACCTCTGGGTACTTGAGGGGACACTGTGCCACTGGACCCTACAGGACACCCTCTACATTAGGCCACACTACCAACACACAGAGACAAAGCAGCTCTACCTAATACACAGAAACAAACACAGGGAGGCTGCCAAATAAAGAGAAAGAGAAACACTACCCAGTGAAAGAACAGATCAAAACTCCAGAAAAAGAGCTAAACGAAATGGAGATAAACAATCTATCAGATGCAGAGTTCAAAACACTGGTTATAAGGATGCTCAAGGAGCTTAGTGGAGACCCTAACAGCATAAAAAAGATCTAGTCGGAAACAAAGAATGCACTAATTGAAATAAAGAACAATTTACAGGAAACCACAGTAGAGTGGATGAAGTTGAGAATCAGATCAGTGATTAGGAACATAAGGAAGCAAAACAATCAATCAGAATAACAAGAAGAAAAAAGAATCCAAAAAACGAGGACAGTATAAGCAGCCTCTGGGACGACTTCCAGAGGTCCGACATTCACATCACAGAGGTGCCAGAAAGAGAATAGAAAGAGCAAGAAATTGGAAATCTATTTGAAAAAATAACAAAAGAAAACTTCCCTAATTTGGTGAAGGAAATAGACATGCAAGACCAAGAAGCACAGAGAGTCCCAAACAAGATGGATGCAAAGAGGCCCACTCCAAGACACATCAGAATTAAAATGCCAAGGGTTAAAGATAAAGAGAGAATCTTAAAAGCAGCAAGAGAAAAGTTAGTTACCTGCAGGGGAGTTCCCATAAGACTGTCCACTGATTTCTCAAAAGAAACTTTGTAGGCTGGAAGGGATTGGCAAGAAATATTCAGTCATGAATAGCAAGGACCTACAGCCAAGATTGCTCTACCCAGCAAAGCCATCATTTAAAATCAAAGGACAAATAAAGAGCTTCCCAGACAAGAAAAAGCTAAAGGAGTTCATCATCACCAAACCATTAGTATATGAAATATTAAAAGGACTTATTTAAGAAAAAGAAGATAAAACTACGAACAATAAAATGGCAAAAAGTACAAATCTATCAACAACTGAACTAAAAAACAAATTAAGTGAATAAGAAGAACAGAGACAGAATCATGGATACAAAGAGCATTTTGATGGTTGTCAGATGGGAAGCGGGTGTGAGAGAATGGGTGAGGAGGTGAAGGGACTAAGAAATACAAATGTGTAGTTACAGAAAAGCCATGGGGATGTACAGTACAGGAAATGGAGGAGCCAAAGAACATATACACATGGCCAATGGACATGAACAATGGTGTAGGGATTGCCTGAGGCAGTGGGGGCTGCTGGGTGGAGAGGGGC